AGCTGCGGAGCGATCGCAGTGGACTTGAATAAATTAGCAAAACAACATAAAAACGTCAGACAGAGGCAAAGAGGAAGATGGCAATGGTCATAGATGTCATCCAAAACAATTCATTATGGTGCTCAGGAAACGCTGACACACATTTTTCATTATATCAAACTAAATATCAGCCTGACAGCAAAGTCCCTCTAGAATGAGCCGCTTTAAGGAAACCTGACGGGTGCACTGGTGCCCGGGTCGCTGGGTGTGGATTGTTTTAGTTAGTAGTTTCATTCAGTAGCGCTGGTGGGAGTCAGAAAATCAATGCAGCAATGAATAATATGAGTATGCACAAATGAACATAGTGGAATATCTTAAAAATGGTATATTTTAATTAGAATGTCAGATTTTTATTTGCAGTTCAGGAGTGGGGGGGCTACGAGTCTGAAAGTGCAACTCTTCAGCACAACATTAAATATCTCACAAAGCAACCGGTGTTTATAAAGTAAATTATCACATCAGCGTTTTCATCAGTGCCTCCTCTCTAACAAAGAACTGACCGGAAGACGACATCTTTTCTTCCAGTAATGGTGGCTCGGGATCAGATTTCTGTTAGTGTTTAGAACAGGTGTAGTAGAATGTTGTAGAAGGGCTAAATGTTTGTGCCTTCGTGTCTAGATATAGTACTTATTTATTTGTTTATTTTAAGAATATTTGGAGTATTTTTAGATAGTCAAAACAGTTTGTCTGACAGAGTTGAAAGTCAGAAGTGAAAGGTTATGGAAGGTGGTATTGGGAGAATCTTGTTCCCATGAGGAACACCAGACGGATGCCAGACAGGCCGCAGAGTTTTATCCAGGATCTAAGGAAGATGACGGAGCTGAGTGACATGGACAGATGTTGTGTCTGAAGTAAAACACTTCCTGAACGGTGTTTACTGCAGGCGGGGCCTCTCCTCAGTCTGAAGTACTTTCCATGTCCTCACTCATGGAACACCAGGGCTTTTGCTGTTGTTGTTGTTGTTGTTGTTTTTGCTGTCTGCCCATGATGGAGTACTGGAAACTGCTGCAGTCATTACTACTTTAAAAAGTTGAGCCTACTCGAGGTTTTTCCTGGACTGTTTCTGTTATTGTTTACTTAAAAATGTGTATGTTACTTAGGAAACTGCTGGATAAAGGCTTTGGACTATAACTACAAATGCTGTCCATCATTGATTTGTCTTACAAAGACATCTTCTAATTAATATTTTTGTCTAATGCTAATATTATACATCACACATGGCAGAAAGTAAAGCTGCAATTCTTGAAAGTCTAGTAGCTAATCATCCAACATGTGCTAGTTATGGTTATAAAATAACTAGTTGTTTATGTTATATACTGACTGATCAATAAAGTTAAAGTCCCAGTAGTCATCATCACACACTGGTGAAATTACATCTCCACATTTGACCCGTCCTTGTGAGAAGCGGTGAGCTGCAGCAGTGGTTGTGCTCAGGAACTATTGGTGGTTTAAGTTTAAGAGCTGCATAATATTAAGAAAACATTCATTTGTGTTATTATCACTGAATAATGCAATATCAGTAGTGGTTGTAATAAATGCATAGTGACGTGTTTGTGTTCTACTAACAGCTCTCTCTCTCTCTCTCTCTCTCTCTCTTTCTCTCTCTCTCTCTCTCTCTCTCTCTCTTCTCTCTCTCTCTCTCTCTCTCTCTCTCTCTCTCTCTCTCTCTCTGTCTCTCTCTCTCTCTTTCTCTCTCTCTCTTTCTCTCTCTCTCTCTCTCTCTCTCTCTCTTTCTCTCTCTCTCTCTCTCTCTCTCTCTGTCTCTCTCTCTCTTTCTCTCTCTCTCTCTCTCTCTTTCTCTCTCTCTCTCTCTCTCTCTCTCTCTCTCTCTCTCTCTCTCTCTCTCTCTCTCTCTCTCTCTCTCTGTCTCTCTCTTTCTCTCTCTCTCTGTGTCTGTGTGTGTGTGTCTCTCTCTCTGTGTGTCTCTCTCTCGCTCCCTCTCGCTATGTGTCTCTCTTTGTGTGTGTGTGTCTCTCTCTCTGTGTGTGTGTGTCTCTCTCTCTCTGTGTGTGTGTGTCTCTCTCTGAACACCTTATCACTAGGGTTGGGCACAAGCCCCCATAATTCGGGTCTGAAATTGAAGCCAACCCGGAAGTGACAAAAATTACAGTTCCACCCTCATCCACTAGGGGCTGGTGTCAGAAGCAAGCAAATCCTCATTGACTCCCATGTTAAAAATACCATTTTCACAGCAGAAATAAACATGTTTACAGCCTGGTAGCAAAACATGTTTTAGGTTTAAATGATCTAGTTTACACTCATGACAACTCTGAGGGGGGTGAATCTTTTCTCACTCTTCTGTTTAAGTGTATTAAAAGCCTAAAATTCTGTATAATTAATGAGCATCAGACCCACGTGACCGCAGAGCTAGCTCCGGGGCCTCAGCCTGAGCCTCGGTCTGGCCTGAAAACTGTTCTGCCATTTTCAGTCTCTCAACTCAGACCATTAGTTGTAGCATGTGTGTATTCTTTTTTGATATTATTTGTGCAATTGTTGGACAAAATGACTTGTTGTGGTATTAATTGCTCTAATAGAGCGTCCAAGGAGTCTCCACTTCATTTTTTTCGGTAAGTAAAATTATGTTTATGTATTTTAGGTCACTGCCGCTCTTGCACTAGCTGAGCTTAGATTTTAACATGTACTGTTTAACCATGAAACCTGAATTTAATAGGGTAAAACCCAGTGCATTTAACATAACGTTGCATTTTTAAAAATGGTTTGAAATATAACATGTTGGTGAAGCTGGGTTCTGACTATTGGTATGGTTCCCTCCCCGCAGCTCGGCGCATCTCTGATCGCCGCGGCACCTGTTTGCTGCACAGGTGCCGAAAACCGATGTTTTCCACCCGGTTCTCCCCAGCGGCAGCTCGACGTATCTCTTACTGCAGTGGTGCCTGTCTGCTGTGCGGCTGCCGTCTTGTGGAGTTCTCGGGAGACCTCTGTGCTCTACCCGGTTTTACCCAGCGGTCAGCCCGGCGTATCGCTGACTCAGAAGCTCCGGTGTTGTGCACAGTTAACTCCGGTTGTAGCTAGGTTGCTACCTCCGTTAGCTTAGCTCCCACCTCCGCGTTGTAAAACATCAGACAGACAAAAAGAAGGCTTCATTGTGGTTACCAAGGCTAAAACATCATCCTGTGTTACAGGAACAGCCGGCTCATCAACATCATCGTTACATGACAGGAATGGTGAAAGTTTGTTCTTAAAGGGACTTTACGGACTTTTGAATTTTTATGCTCGCGATTGCCCCCTCAGGCCAAAAGCGTAACGGCAGCTTCAATAGCAGGCTCGTGCACGAGGCGCGCATGCTGTACGTGCACACTCCTTTATGAAAATAACAGCTGAGACAGTCCTGTGTGTGTGTGTGTGTCCCGGAGGACAGGAGAACGCACAGCTAATTAATTAAATAATGTGGTTCTGTACCTTTCTCTTCAGCACAGCCGACAAAGGTTTATGATGGGTCGGTCCTCCTGCATGCTCAGATCATTGCCTTCCCTTGCTTGAAAATTTGTTCCAAAATGAAAGTTGAACCCACATCTTTTTTATCTGTGAATTCAATGCCGTTCGGCGAGTCTCAAATAAAAATTTGGGCATCTTACTGTAAAAAAATACACCATTAATGTAAAAAAGAAACTCTAAATAAACTATGTTCACACCCAGAATCAAACCCGGGTCTTCTGCATGGGAGTCAGACATCTTACTAGGTGAGCTGCACTCCAGAAACATTAATAGTATCTGTAACTTTTACATCCTTGATGACAGCTGAAACAACGTCAAACCAAAGAACGGTTTGAAGCGAAAATGGCTATTTTGTTGCTAATTTGCAGGAAATATCTAGAAGAAAGTTCTACAGAAAGTAGCTAAGGGTCCTCAGCTAGGTTCATCACTAGGCGTTAGGAACAGTGACAAAGTCGCTGAGTTGGCACTGCCTCTCTCTCTGCTGCTAAAGCTACGGATAGCAAATGCTACGGGCTATGCCTGGCGTGAACGCGCATGAAGCAGCCTAATTCCATGCTTTCATTCTTTTTAAACACAGAAACAGTTTTGTTTACCTGTTTTGTAGCTACAGTTTCGCCGACGGCTGCCGGCTTCTTCAGGCTGACGCTTAGTCTGGCAGGTGGCCAAGCAAAGCCTGGCGGGCTGCTAGGCTTACAAAGCGCTGGGGGAAACCCTGGAATGATGGGCCATTCAATGATAGTAACAAAAATATACACCCAAATCTATAATTAAACCAAAACCTTTAAATGATAAATTCAACAGACCTCTTTATAAAACAATACAATAACATCTCTATTAATTATTACAGCAAACTGCATTTACAGCTGCTGCAAAAGGTCTGAGCCATATGTCCGTGTCCAACACGCCTTTTTAAATAACATAGGTCTGATCTAAAATATTAACCTACATCTATAAATTGATCAAGAACCGCACCGTTACTTCTGGTCTCCAGTCGAGTCCTGTTAGCATGACTGCAGCAACACTGCTAACTGTGTCAGCTCCGGTGAGGAAAAAACAAGTCATTTGGGAAAGCTACCACACACACACACAACACACACACACACACACACACACACACACACACACACACACACACACACACACACACACACACACACACACACACACGTCATCTAAAAGATTCCCCATATTTCAACAACAGATCCTACCGGGACTGGTAGAACCTCCGTGCTATCCTGGATTAGTGCAAACAACAAGCCGAGTTAGCGAGTTACTCCAGCATCAGGAAGGTTTATTCTGGTAAGCTATCGGATGAATATTATCCAGAGTTATATCAATATATACATGGAGCGGTAAAACTGGTAGCATACAATTTATTTACCTGTAGATTACTGAATTATATTGGGACAGATGATGGAGCTAAGGCCTGTAGTCAGTTTAGAGCTCCAGGTGGAAGCGCTACGAGCACAGAAATGAAATATTTAAGAAAAGTAAACAAACTGTACCGATGTTGGTTCTGAAGATGAACAGAATCCTCCTCGATGTCCAAATTGAGTTGCGGATCTTCTGAGTCAAACGGTCCAAAGCATGTCTGCACCTCCAGTAGTGATGTCCGGCTAGCGGGGTCGGAGTTCGGTTGAACGTCTCCGGTAATCCAATATCCGTTCTCGTTGCCGTTCACCAGAGAAAAAACAAATCTGACCGACCAGCAGAGGCTTCAGAAGCTACTTCTGACTGATGACACATTGTTCTCCAATACAACGCTAACACAGAAACACCAGAGTCGGGGGTTGTGTTCTATAGCGTTTTCAGTAGACCTCCTTGGGGAACGTCACGAGCTGCCCAGGTCTTAGACCGGAAGTTAGTTTCTGTTTTTCCCACGCCAGTCAGAAACATCAGATTTTCTTAAAATTCCAGTCGTGAAAATCCTAAAACCTCTTTTATCTGAGGTTTTAATACTTCTTTACACATGCCGTTCAAATTAACTTCGCCTCTGGCCGATGTCTTTAACATTAATGTGCAAATGGGAGTGAAGGGGAGCAGGAGCGGGAGTTGCAGTTGGCCATCCAGCTGAAACAAGGAAGGGGAACTGAAAACTGAATTACAGGAGAAAGATCCAGAGAGTTCCCGTTAAACCAACCAGTCCTGGCTTTCTGGAAGAGCTACAAATCAAAAGCACATCCCCTTGAAATCTCTATCAGCTTAAATCTTTTAAAATGTTCAAATAAATTTAGCAATTTCTCCCTTTTCCCAAGAAAACAGTAAAATGCGTCGCTGACTAGTGGCCAGTGGCTCGTATCTGTGTGAAGAACAGCGAACAGAATGATCACAAGCTCTCGGTCTGCAGGATTTAACTGTAGAGTTTCTTGGCAGCCTTCTAATTTAAGATCATGTCACCAGTTTGTCCTTTCATACCGTTCACACTGTTCTTGTCCTGCATTCCCTCTATAGACAAGTATTTATAAGTTGTATTATCACCACACAATCCCACCACACTCCCTCTACATCCAATAAGAAACTCAACTCCAACGGGAAACAGAAATAGATGGAGGAAGTGCGTTGAGCGAAGAGGCTCAAATCGGCCCCAAGTGGAAACAAAGGTGAGAATTTCAAGTTCACGTCAGGGATCTGTTTTTGATGTTTTTGAGTCTTACTCAAAAACTCTAACCATGCAACCATTCAGTTAGTGCTTTTAAGTTAAAGCTCCTTAAATTATAAAACGTCAGCAGGCTTAAAGATAAAACATGTTACTCCACTTGTTTTTATTGAAGGGACGTTTAATAACTGATGACGAGATTCATCACAACACAAGGATAAACAAACATTTTATTCCTATTGCCCGTTTGGACACATCAGGGTGTCTCAGGACAGCGACTACTACTGAGTTGTGGCCCAACACGTGTCGACACATGTCTCCGGGTGAAACCGTATCCGTGTGTTCTCACACGGCGTGCTGATGGACGCCGGGCTGTGTCGTGTCCTCTGCTCTGCTGTTGCTCTGGACGGGGCTGGTCCTCTGCCTCGGACTCTGTGAGGCGATTGGAGATTCCAGGCCGGGCCCTGGAGCCTCCCCCCTCTGACACACTTTCAGTGCTGCACCGCCAGCATGACTTTCACTGCTCTCCAAGGGCGGGTGGTGCACCTTCAGGGAAAACAAACAAACATGGAGGCTGCTGGAGTGCAAGTGTTTAGACCTTGCTCGTTTGACTGTCTGTGAGTATGGCACCTCAGCATCTCTGATATGGCTGCAAGGCAATGAGGCATGTCTTTGAAAGCCGAGTGTGTGTGTGGCACTTAATGTACAAGTGAAGGACAGAGGGTGGGAACTAGACACAGCTGGAGCTCTAGAGGACTTCTTGCTACGAATGTTGTGCAAATTTTTCTGTGAGTTTTGGATAAATGACAAATTGTAGATTCAAATGTAAATATAGACAGAGTTACCTGGATTTGCTTTATGTTCATTTGTTAATCTGTTTGCAAAGCTGTGGGGTTGCTTACACATCCTTCCTGCTTTTAGGACATCATGTTTTGACTCAAACCAGACCTGCCAGTCTGTTTGCATGCAAATCTACTAATTGTCCCTCTCTGGTTGCCGTATGTCAGTAGTTAAATCCTGCATTAAAGACTCAAGCCTGCCTGTCTGACTGACGGTGGGCATGATGGTGTAGAATAGTGAGCACAAATCATGAGTGGAGGTAGGCAGGGCTCTCCAGCACTGTACTGCCATTGTTTTCACCTCCCCTTTTGCCAGATGCACACACACACACACACACACACGCACGCACGCACGCACGCACGCACGCACGCACACACACACACACACACACACACACAGATGTGACAAAAAAGCTTTTTGTGTATCTCAGTGTTTTAGAATTAGAGCAAAAGCCACAAAACACTAAAACCAGGATAGGTTTTGCTCTCTAACGTTTCCAGTGACTCGTGTAGTCCAACACTCAAAGTAAACAATTCAAGTATTCATTACAACAACTTTCCATTCATGTCAGCTAATTAGCCTCTATTCTTAGAAAACAGTTAATAAATGCTGTCATTCTTTGGTGTTTATATGGAGAATATATTAATAAAATCTTTATTAGATGAACAAATGATCTTGTTCTCTTCATGGCTGGTCTGAAGTGCTGAAGCAGGTTGAGCTAAGTTCTGACCTGAGCTAGCTGCTCCAACCCTGGTTTGTGTGGCAGGCTCTCTTCTGTCAGTGTGAACGTTGGTGTCCACCATCAGTGTGTGAAGGGTGCTGAAGAAAGCATTTCCCTGACTGGAAAAATGCTACAGAAATGCATTGTTTTCTTTCCTCTGATCTAACAATACAATTTGTGTGCTTCTTTCAAACTGATTAAATGCAGCTACCATGTTTATAATGGAGCTTCAACACAGTGCAAATACAACAGTAAAGACCAGGGGTCTAATTTAGAAAACATTGCGTAGAATCCTTACTGAAACCGTACTTGAGCTCAGTAAAAACGCCAAGCAGGTTTGTGATCTATCAAACATGGAGTACGCACAGCTGCACGCAATCTCCCCTTGATAAATCAGAAACTATCTAGAGAGGTTCTCAGCTGCTTTTTAAGTCACATCCCACCCTCACCATGCCCACTTACTGCCATAAATAGTCAATGCAAAGTGCCTTGTGTTTCTCATGCATATATATAAGCCGGCTTGTTGCAGCATTTCGATCACGACTGCAGATCAAGGAAGCACTATTTCACAAGCAGAAATTGAGGTACCTGTGGGTGAGGCGGGGAAATGAAAGGAATTGCTGTTGCAAAACAAATAAGAGGAAATCTTTGGAGTGGCACAGCGTTGCTGAAGCCGTCAATGTTGTGAGTTCTTCAGAGAGATCTGTGGCGGATATAAAAAATGGTCCAATCGGGATTCGATCCCCAGACTCCCAGGTGAAAGGCACGCACGCTAACCAGTCAGCCAAACAGAGATCTCCCTTGTGCAAGTAGCCAGGGTGCATGATCAACCGGGTCACAGTGACAGGACACACACTGTCACAGACGCATGATGTTCTGTCTCAATCTGCCCCCCCCCCCATGCTGATATTCTGCATTCTGTATTCTGCGCTTCAGGCTGTGTGTGTGTGTGTGTGTGTGTGTGTGTGTGTGTGTGTGTGTGTGTGTGTGTGTGTGTGTGTGTGTGTGTGTGTGTGTGTGTGTGTGTGTGTGTGTGTGTGTGTGTGTGTGTGTGTGTGTTAACAGACAGCTGTACCAGTGTTTCTAAAGCTCAGACTGGTAGAGAATAGGCACTAAGGTTAAAGTTTGACAAGAACCAATACATTTTTATGTATTTAATCTACTGATTGATGTTTATAATTTCTCAAGACCGCTTGAAGTGAGTTAACTTGTAAATATTTTACAGGAGGAAAATTATCTAGATATATATCGTATATCTGAATTCAGCAAAAAGGTATCGAGATATAAGTTTTGGTCCATATCGCCCAGCCCTACCTTCTCAGCAGCAACACTGCAGGTGCTCTCCGTGTCCAAGATGTGTGTAAGCCAGGTCCTTAGTCAACTTAAAGTTGCGCACATTTTTCCGCTAAGTTTTCTTTCATAAATCCCAAAGTTTGCATGAAAAGTTGCTTACGCAGTTTTCCAACCCCATTTTGTGCGTAAGCAAGCTTAATAAATGAGGCCCCAGGACTCATAACTCTTATCAGGCTTGAATAAAGTTGATTATAAAAACATATCATTTCGGAGTTTAGAGGTTCTGTGATTTTCAGTAAATAGTTGAACCAAACGAAACTCTGACTCTTCCTTAAACATGATCACATTAGTGGGGTCGAGTGAAACAATTCATTCAGATATTTGATTTACATTGTGCATTGTTATCATGTCAGTGCTGCATAAATAATTTTTTTTTGTAATTGATTTATTGCGATGCTTTGATTGTAGTGAGGTTAGTACACATCATACCCACAAATGCTATGATTATAATTATTAACAATCGTTTATTTCTGTTTTTGGTTTGCCAGCCTTAGTTTCATGATTTTCAGTTTCAGCCAAGAGTTTTCATTTCAATGGATGCCTAATATAAACCTGTAAACGACTTGATTCTGCCATTTTTACCGTTATTTACCTTTACAGCTGCAGCTAACTATGATTTCTTGACCGTCTAGGACCATTTCCTTCTGCCAAACCAACTATAACTGTAAAATTAATACTATAACTTATTTACAGGGTAACATTAATGGCAGTTTGGACATTAATGAGCACGGCTGTGTTTGCAGCTCATCACTCCCCCAGGGGATGGGTCAAATTCAGAGAACAGATGTCGCATACACATCAGTGTGTGTGACAACTAATGGGACTTTAACTGTAGAGCCGTTTTAAGATGACACCTGGGCACTTTGAGCTGCTCTCAGCCTAGCCGTTAGCCTATCAATCCTGTTGGATGTAATCCCTAGTTCTCTTGTCTCAGATCATACAGCTGTTAACTATGTGTGTTTTTATTTTGCACATAAAAAGGCCAAAATATTACATGCATTTACTATCGAAGCGTGTTGGGAAATAACCTATTTTGCTTCTTTGTGCACAATGTAAACAATCTTATAAATGCACACCTGAGGGTAATGCGCTTGACTTTTGCTCTATCAAACATATTTACGGACTCTGGCAGGAAATTAATTGACGGATTTATGAGAAAAACATGCAAACATCAAGTAGAAAAGTCCCTGGTGTGATCTGCAGCTGACTAATAACCTCATCCATTAACCCTGATGAACCTAATCGGTTGGGTAGATTACAGGCTTGTCTTGAAGACTCAAAAAAATTGAATGATTCAAAACTTTTTGATTTTAAATCAAGGCAAGACGGAAGTTCTCATCTTTGGACCAGAAATCCAGAAAAGGAAATTGCTTAGTCAATCACCTGACCTGAATGGCATTACATTAATCTCCGAGAACAAAGCAAGGAACCTTGGTGTTATCTTTGACCAGGACATGTCATTCAAATCCCAGGTTAAACAGGTTTGTAGGATTTCCTTTTTCCACCTTCGGAATATTGCTAAGATTAGAAGCATCCTTTCCAGGAGTGATGCTGAAAAACTAGTTCATGCATTTATTACATCAAGACTGGATTACTGTAATTCCTTACTCTCAGGAAGTCCACAGAATGTAGTTAAAAGTCTTCAGCTTGTCCAAAATGCTGCAGCTAGAGTTCTGATGAGAATTAAAAAGAGAGATCATATCTCTCCTGTCTTAGCTTCCCTACATTGGCTACCTGTTAAATTCAGAATAGATTTTAAGATCCTTCTTCTCACATATAAAGCTCTTAATAATCAAGCTCCATCATACATTAGTGATCTGATTGTTCCATACGTTCCTAACCGAGCACTTCGCTCTCAGACTGCAGGTCTACTGGTGGTTCCCAGAAAATCTAAAAACAGGATGGGAGGCAGATCTTTTAGCTAACTTTATTTTTTCTCTAAGTGTTTTTCTCCCCAGAAGAAGCTACAACGATGTTCTGCTGAGCTGTGGTGGCCTCATGGAGGGGGCCATCGACTAGCACACTGCTGCTAACCACTTAAACATTCTCCCTCTCCTGATAATAACTTTTTGCTTTCTTTGACATTGGATGTGCTACTACTAGTTTACCCGTTTAGTTATAGATTCACTAGGATAAATACAATAAAGTTTATCTCTCACCAAATAGAATATGTACTAAGAAATCACAATGTAACCTGTGTGTGTGTGTGCGTGTGTGTGTGTGTGTGTGTGTGTGTGCGTGCGTGTGTGTGTGTGTGTGTGTGTGTGCGTGTGTGTGTGTGTGTGTGTGTGTGCGTGTGTGTGTGTGTGTGTGTGTGTGTGTGCGTGTGTGTGTGTGTGTGTGTGTGCGTGTGTGTGTGTGTGTGTGTGTGTGTGCGTGCGTGTGTGCGTGCGTGCATGCATGCTTACTGATTGGCTTAATGACCTGACCTGTATTGGCGTGTTTATTATGTGAAGTGCCTTGAGACGACTCTTGTCGTGATTTGGCGCTTCATAAATAAACTTGAATTGAATTGAATTAATACACCACTGTGAAGCCAATGGGAGTTCTTGTTATTTATTCAGTTTACAAAAACAGTATCGATGTAGGGTAGGGGGAATATTTTAGTTCAATAAGTCATTTTTTTAAGTTCAAAATTAGGATGTACAGACACAACTTTTTCACTTCTGATACGATACCGATATTGCAGCCTTCAGTGTTGACCGATACAATATCAGCACAAATCATACAGACTTTTATCCATTTCATGGTGTGGAATGTATGAAAGGCTTGATCACTTGATTTTACTCAAACGGAGAACAAGAGCCAATAACAGTAAGTATGAAAAAAACCATTTGATGCATAATGGTCACTACAGTGGACAGGTACTCAAAATTGTTATTTATTTATTTATTTTTTGCTATTAAGCACAGCTGTTGAAGACTTTATTGCATTTGAGCCCGTCCATTTGGACCTCAGTAAGTCCAGCCAACATATTTCATGTTCAGAACGCACGCTGTCCACTGAGGTGGACATGTAATAAATTATTTGTAAATTATTAAATGTTACAAAAATATTTGTGGAAATTTGTTTCATTCACACCTAAAGATGAATGGAAAAATTTGTTTAAAAAATCATGGTTGAAGATTTCATAATTCATGCATCAAAGGGCCACCGGTTTCAAAAATGTGAACCTTAATGGACTGCTTATATCTGAGATTTTTGATGCAGTCCGATATAATCCGATACAGTGTTTTTGGGCCGATATCGAATTACTTTCGATATCGTCATGGAACGGGACATCCCTAGTTAAAAAAAAAACTTTGGATTTATGTAATTTTAACAAATAACCAGTAGCTCTGCGGATAATCTCATTTGTGTAAAGTGACCTTGGGTGTCCTGAAAGGCGCTTTTAAATAAAATGTATTATTATTGTTATTATTATTATTATTTAGAACTTATTTTTTTCTTTTTTTCTGCACTAGTTTAACAACAATTGTGATGGTTTTACCTCTCGTTCCAAATACTCCACCTTTTCCCTGTAAAACCAAAAAAAAAGAGGAAGTGAAAGAACTGGAATGTGTATGAATTCAAACAGCCGGTGCAGATTAAAGCCAAAAAAGCTGAAAAGCTTTCATCTGCGGCAGGGGAAATGTTGAGTTTTAACTTTAGAGCCAGAGACTTGTGTTTGAAAGTTTCAGGATGAAAGGAAACACAAAAACCCAAAGCCACATAGACTGAGGAATTACAACGGAGCGCTGAACATGATTCCATGAAGGACAAAAGATCTTTAAAAAAAAAAAGGACTAGCTGTGAAACGGGAAAACTGCTGCTGAGCATAAAGCTGAAGCTGAGCCATTTCAGACTCCATCTTTGGTGTGTTTGTCTTAAATAAAGGAAGTAATTAAATATGTCATCAAACCCTTTACCTTTATTTGCAATGAATCATTTCAAACGGGGACTTTTCCTGACAAGTCGAAAACTAAGGTGATTCCGATATAAGAATAGGGTTAAGCGTATAATTTCAAACTACAGCCCTGTGCCATTACTACCTCAATTTGCTGAAATACTTGAAAAACTGTTTGCTAGTACATTTGATTCTTTTATTGAGAAATGTGATTTGTTCAGTCATCGTCAATATGGTTTTCAGAGTATCCGATCAGAGTCCTTGGCAGTGATGGAATTTGTTGAAAATATGGCTACGGATAATAAGCGATGTGCCGTTGGGGTTTTTATCGATACGTAAGGTGTTTGATTTGTTTGCTTTTGGATAAACTGGCGAGTTGTGTTATGAGAGCAATTATGCTAAATTGGATGAGGAGTAACTTAAGTAATAGACTTTAGTATGTAGAGTTTAATAATACCATCAAATATCAAAAGTGTTCTCTGTGGCATTCCGCAAGGTTCTGTGTTGGGGCCTAAGTTATTTTACTGCATGTGAATATTGGGCACTCAACAAGTTGAAATTCATTACATTTGCACATGACACAGCTTTGTTTTCTTCTGAATCAGCCGTAAAATAATTGCTGACACTAGTAGAAGAAGGCTTGATTAGGTTAAAAGACTGGTTTGACATTAATAAATGATCACTTAATGAAAATGAAAGTAAATTTATGGGGTTCTGCAACTAACAATGAAATAAAAATAAAGTAAAATGATGAAGAAATTGTAACCGTATACGAAATTAAATTCTTAAGAGTAATTTTAGATCATAGGCTTAGTTAGAAGCCACATATTGAATACATAAAAAATAAACTATCAACAACTACTGGAATTATTTACAAAGCAAGTGTTTTTTAACTAAAGATGTGTGCGTTTATTATATTTTACCCTCATCATGCCGTGCCGACTGTACTGTTTTTAGGTATGAGGAAATGGGTATAAAACAAATATTGATCCAATTGTGAAGATTCAGAAAAAATTTGTAAGAATAATACACAAATCTCCCTTTGGTGTTCCAACCAACAAATTATTCTCTTATGTTAAAATTTGTAGATATTGTTTGTATTAAAACATTGAAAATATTATTTCAAGCCAAGACTAACAGTCTCTCCTCGTGCATTCAGGATGTTTGTGTTAAGAGAAAACAAATATAATGAATGAATGAATGTTTTTAGAGCAGGGGTGTCAAATATGCGGCCCACGGGCCGGATCCGGCCCGCAAGTGGGTTAAATCCGGCCCGCGAGATGGTTGTGTAAACTTTATTTTCATACTTTAGAATGTAGAGTGAAAATAAACGTATCTTTGTGAGCAAGTTTCCTCTGTAATGAGTATAAATAAAACAAAGCTGCGCTCAAGGCTCACACAAGAACTTGAATCACATCCTGAAGATGGCCGCCACTCAGGATGTGACTTCTGATGTTGATGTGCTGGTGAAAGCTAAAAGATGTAAAGTAAAATGAGTCAAATATACTTTAAGTGCTGCATGAAACTGATCTAGCCATGTGATCTGTAAGCTCTTTGAATCACTAAGGAATGTTTTATTTATTGATTGATTTTTTATTTTTTATTTTTCAAGTACACTTCAGGTGTTGTACTTGTACTATTTTGGATACACTGTCCTCAGGCTCCAGCCTTGTTTCATATTGATTGTATTAAAACAAAGAAAACAATCTGAAGTTGTTTTAAATTTACCGGTCCGGCCCACTTGGGACTAGATTTCTCGCAATGTGGCCCCTGAGCTAAAATGAGTTTGACACCGCTGTTTTAGAGGTTGAGTCAGAACTAATGTTAGATACAGATGTGTGTCATTTGGGGAGTCAAACTACGGTACAGTGTCATTGAGAAGCTGAAAAAGCACTGAAGGAGAAAATATTTAAGAACTACAAAGTAACAAAATGAACACGGGAATGAATGAAAATGATGAATTTGGCTAAATTAGTGTTATTTTCTTGTTGCTTTTTGTCTTTGATGTTGTGTTATGGTGGATCTGCAAGGAGATCTGTGTATAGGATATGCATTTAATAAGCCTCGGCTTCCTTTCCCTCCGGTTGTAGAGTTTGTTTATTCTTTTTGGTGGTGAGATGAATAGCTCTTGTTTTTATTTCAATTTTTTTTTACACGTAGCTGAAATAAACTTTAACTCAATAGGATTCTGTCCAGACGTCAGTCCGTGCGGTATCAGACCAAAGAGACGGCGTTCAGTGTTGAGGAGAGAATTATGGTATGTTGAGGGCTCAACACGCCGCTGACCACTCTGGCTAATTAGTGCGATTACTGCACAGCTGGATTGGCCAGACGTGGGTTGTATCAAACGGATCACTCCCTCCGTGAAGGTTTCATCCCGACAACTTCTGCTTCAGCAGTCTCTCTATTTTCAGACCCTGTCTGGGTCGTGGCCACCTAAATTTAAGAGAGTGGGAAAACTGAAGCAGCCTTTTCTTTAGTGTTGTTCCTCTTTCTGTCATGTTGAATCCTGCACATTTAAAACGCTCTGGATCCACCAGAAGCACCACAACAGCATCCATTATCTTCATGAAATTATGACTTGGATGCCTCATTGAGAGGAAACTAAAAGAGTTTAGTGAGTTTAGTGACCTGCTGTAACCGTTCCATCTTCTCTTTTGATCTGATCTCTCTTCTTGCTTGACCTCGTCTTCCCCGCCTGACCTCCATCTACCCTCTGTCTGTTTTTACTCCCCGTCTCTTCGCCTCTCGTCTCTGATGGTTCACCTGGCCTCTCTCTGCAGCAGCCCGTCGCACCAGCACATCTCCTCCAAGCCCCCGCTGAGCTCCTCGGCCATGACATCACGCATCCTTCTGCGGCAGCAGCTCATGCGGGAGCAGCTGCAGGAGCAGGAGCGGCGCGAGCAGCAGAAGCAGCAGTCGTCCCACTACCCACAAACCTCAGCGACCCAGAGCCCCGCCATCAATGTCAGCACGCCCGCCAGCATACCACCTGCTGCACAGGTGCCGATGGAGGTGCTGAAGGTAAGCGGCTCCAGTTGCTGAGGGATGTGGGTGTGTTTAATTAGCAGACTGTTTATGTGTAAAGTTTCCATCTCGGGAAAATCTATGCGTCACTGCTGCAGTCTGAGTGGTCCGGCTGTATTAATAGTTTGTGACTCGTGCACAGACAGACAGGCAGCCGTGGTTTTACTACGCCCGTGTGTACAAAAAGGAGAGGGAGGACGGGAGTGAGTGAAGTGTGTTAAAATGCGTGTATGGGGATTATCTTTCCTGAGAGAATTCCTCTTTAATGCATGCTGTGCCTCCAGCCATTTGGATTTAGCCATCTTTAATCCTATTTGCTCAGCTACGTTCACATCTTTTCATGGATTTGACTCCCTGGCAGTCTGAGGGACAGAAGACTTTTAAGATTTTCCGAATGAGTACAGAGCTTTGTTTCTCCATGATATAATTCCAACAGGACCTTTTGGTAAGTCTGTCTCTTTGTGTGTGTGTGGCGTTTTCTAGAGCAGGTGTTGATGATTCTGTTGGTCCATGTGCTGTGGAGAGGCTCAGGACGTTCTTACTTTGGGCCGTTCCGGGTGGACTTGAGCTGCTGTTTTATTTTTGAAACACAAACTTTGTGCACGTTGTCGACGTGGAAGGGTCTGCAGCCAGATTTTCTAATTCACTCTTTAGTGATGCCTTTGCTTGTTTTGGCAGAGATACTTATTTTTCTCCTGGTGGTGTGTTTGTTGAGCCATCTTTGCGTAAAATCGAGATTTTACTGTTCTACAAGGCACAAAGGTGAGTGGTTGTGGGTGAAACCTCTACCTCTGACTCTAGCCAGTGAAATATGCACCGCTGCAGTTGTGCGTTCAAGGTCAAGCCTCTGGAAACGATTCTTGTTCATCAGTGAGAAGTGAGCCACTCATCAAACGTTTAGAGAATAAGTTATGGCGGGTGTTGCTATGAAACAGGTATGTGCTTAAGGCCTGGCACGTGTTAGTTGTTATTGTCTTGTTGGATGGATGGTAATCAGGATAGCTTATTGTGTTGATATTCAGCAAATCATCCAAAAGTAGACACACGTCTCCATTTCTGACAAACACATTTCTCTTGATTTCATTTAGTTCTTTTGTCAAACAAACTCTAAAGTCAGATCCTATTAAAGCTGTTCTGTCTTTGATAACTAATGATGTAAAAGTCCCGTTGCTTACTTCCTGACACTGAGCCTTTTGGGGGACCCGCCACCCACTTTAAACCCCATCATAAGAAGCCATAGGACCCCTCACAGCAACAACAGGAGCCCTAAAGGAACCATAGATCAAAGTTTTAATGGTGGCCCAAAAGCTCATATCAAGAACACAATCTGAAGTTTTTGTTGTTTAAATCTGTGTGCGTGCGTGTGCGCGCGTGTGTGTGTGTGTGTGGCACAAATACAGTAAACTCATTAAAAACATTGACCGTGCTTCACAAACACACTCACTCTTCATAATCTGCTGCTCTTTGAGAGGTTTAGGGCGCCCCCTCCCTGAACCCTCACCCTGTGTACCATACATCAAATTTGAGTCCCCGCTCTGCTCTTGCCAGAGCTTACGGGCATTCTTGCTCGACTGAAGTCTTCAGATGAAAAGGCCGTTCAGGCTTGGCGCTGTTGAGCTGGGCTAACCTGCTCCCCTGTCTGTGGCTAGATTAGCAGGGTCCCTCCAAAGCTCAGGGGTACCAGGCAGAGCTGCTGCACCTCAGAAAGTGCAAACATTAAGCTCAGATGAGTTTATCTAAAGACTGATCGGACCCTTAATTAACCAACTGGCCTCTGACCTCGCAAGAATAAGTATGGGATCAGTTTAGGGATCAAGACAAAGGCGAGCACAGCCCTACCACACACTGAACACTAATTCAGTGAAGAATGCTTGTAATTAGCCCACAAATCCATGGCATATTTAGGAGAGGGAGAGAAAACGCACACTGCTCTGAAAAGTGAGCGGAGAAACTTCCTAACGGGTTAAAAAATAATTTGATTTTTTTGTAGGATTTGTGGTGGCAGAAAGAGAACAATGAACACTTCAACCACACTGTTCCTCTTGGATTATACAGTTAGCTTTGCTTTAGAAGGTACTGCACGTTTTTGTCTCGGACTTTTATTATAAATCCATTTCTTTACTTTAAAGATCACACAAAGCCACAAGCGTCCGTGTAGAAAGGATTAGTCTGCATGGCCCAGGGGAACATTTCTGTAAAGTCTACCGCGGTCTTCAGTGCTCAGACTTGGCTGCACTGGCTTGACTTTAGCCTGTTGCCTTCCTCACCGTAAAAGCTATACAGTTGAGACCGTTTATGCTAACTTTAAATCCTATGCCATGCTGCTATGTGTGTAGCAAGGAAGGCCACATGTTAGCAGGGTGTAGCCGCCCGCTCACGTTAGCATCCCAGTTGTTGTCTGCTAGTTCTGCAAAGCACATTAGCAGCTTAACGTGAGACAAAGTGGCCCATTCTTCTAGTCTGTGTCGCAAATGGGAGCCGTGTTGCTAATGTATCCGGGCAGGACCATCATGGAATGCCTGTAGCATGCTAGTTAAAAAAATACACATCATTGTTTGTCTGTGTGCCTTTTTAAATACAGCAGCATCTTTTGTGCTTGTTCCTGCTGAGTTTCTGAGTCTTTAGGGGTGATGCTGCTGGTGCCCTCTGGCCCGTCGATGGCTAAAAACCAGCCGGGAAACAAAACGCTGCCTTGTCTTCCCCGTGGTTGACGATGCAGTGAGTTGGAATTTGATGTCACATTTTTGAACCATGCTCTGTGTGGAGACCGAAGTAAAGTAAACTCAGCCTCTGCTGTTTAGATTTTTCACACTGACAAACCTAGTTATCCGTGTCAGAGTAGTATTGCGCTTTCGGACCGTTGGTGTTGAACGCCACCTTGTTTAGTCGCCACACTGCGGATGGGGGGCTCTCCGTTTGACATTTAAAACAAATAATTAGTCACATTTAACATTATTTTCTTGAAAGCAGCAAGACCAGAACGTTCTGGTCTGTGGTCTGCAGCCCTTGAAGGGCTCTGATGAAGTCAACTAAACTCTGAAATTGTCCTTTCATTTGTTGTGATGCGAAATATCCCCGGAGCTAAACGCCATGACCCTCAGTGTCCGCTGAGGTCCAAAACGCATGGATACGATATCTCTGTGGACACGTACGATGCTGCTGTCTAAAGGGTGCCTGTCGTAAATAACTAACCGTTGCATGGCTTTGCTCAGGCATCAGCTGGTTTATTTTACACTTACCCATCAGCCAGTTCACCATCTCCTCCCCTCTCTGCTGTCCCAAAGAGGAGGGCAAATCCAGCTCTCTGATTGGTTGATTTCAGCGTTCCCCGTGGTGGACAGTATGGTGTCCGGTTGTATTGCTTTGTGTGTGAGCATCTCTCACAAGATATGGTAACCATAGCAACCTCAAGAGGCCTGGGATGCAGCCATTAACATGCCACAGATAATTTTTATGTAATTCCAGTTGGGACTGGATATCGTGACCCGTGTGCAGATCCCTCAGAGTTTCTAGTTATTATGTAGGCTAATTGGTGATATTACGTTGAGTACTGCTTGAACTTTGATAGATGCGTTTGTTTTGCACTGATCTACTGCATCATACCTGCATTAAGTAAAGTGAACATCAAGCAGATGTAAAACTGGGTGTTTGTAGTTGTTCTGAATTAAATCGGGGCACTTCTCTGTTTTTCTGATGTAAAAATGCCTGAAACGCCCTCCTGGTTCCCCGTTAGGACGTGAAAAATCTAGGACTTGGTGTATGAGACTTGAGGAGATGCCTGCTGTAAATGTTATTTGTTTCTATTTTTACTCGGTGACCACTTTTTTTTCTTCTTCCTGAGTTTATGAAGAAGAAACAGACAAACGTTTACAGAGAACCAGTGAATCTTTGTGTACAGCAAAACTCTGTAAACGTATGTTTACAGCAGCTATTTTTAAAGCTGAGAGTTTGGAGTTATACAAAGGTTCAAAAATAAATCCCAGCAGTTAAGGAGATCATTTACTTAACAGCAAAGCCCATTTCTAATACAGCATATGCATTGTTGTTTTACCTCTGAGCTTCATTTCCATTTGTTAATGTTGTCCCGTCAGTTGCTAAATGATGGGGCAAGTTACATTTTTGCATTATAAGGAGTGAAATTAACCTCTGTGTGCACTTTGTGTTTTCATTTCAGCTTCAAATAGTTGCAAAAACTGTGTGATCTAATAAACAATCCAGTATAAATAAAATTACTCTGCTCTCAACTCGAAGGCTAAACGTGTCCCGAGGTGTTTTTAGAAGTCAGCACAAGTAGAGACCGCAGAATGAGGGCAAAACACAGAGGTGCATTTAGAAATGCACCTCACCCATTTCCTCTATAGAGCAACAAGCATTAGTACATACTCTACCTCTGTATTTGGACTCCCAGGCTCCCATAGCGTCTTCTCTGCTGTTTTAACAGCTTTGGCTGCTCTTGTAGACATAATGTTGTACACTATAACTTTATACATTATCACTGCGTTTTACATACCCACAGCTATTAAATATGATTGTTACACATTTATAGAAGCCAACCAGGAGCCTTATAGTAAAACCTGCTTGTGTTACGGCTAATGCTACGAGGCTTGTTTATATGTTTATAAATCTTTAACCTGTGAGCTTGTCTTACTGTTGTTAATGTTTATTGATCATAAATAATTGCTGACATGCTAATATATGCTAGCAGTTATGTTTCCAAATACCTCTTGTGCTTAAAAGTAGTAACTTAGTCTGAATTGTTTAATAAAGCTACTCTAGAGATTTATGGGGCGACAGCGGCACAGGAGTTGAGCGCTCGCCCCGTAATCGGAAGGTTGCAGGTTCGAGCCCCGCTCAGTCTGTCGCTGTCGTTGTGTCCTTGGGCAAGACACTTAACCCCCCTTGCCTGCTGGTGGTGGTCGGAGGGACCGGTGGCGCCAGTGCTCGGCAGCCTCGCCTCTGTCAGTACGCCCCAGGGCAGCTGTGGCTACATTGTAGCTCATCCCCACCAGTGTGTGAATGGGTGAATGACTGATTGTGTTGTAAAGCGCCTTGGGGGGTTCTATGACTCTAGAAGGCGCTATGTCAAATACAGGCCATTTACCATTTAGAAAGAGTTACAGATTCATTAATAACACATTTATTAGACATTTGTGAGGGGAGCCTTATTGTAAACTGACCCCTATAAACGTCTCAACATCATAATGTGATACGTTTGAATCACAGCTCCACTCTGATGACTTGAGTTTAAAATGTGAACTCTGGTAGTGTCTGAACTCAGTGTGTTGAATCATTTTAATCTTGTTGTTTTTCTGCCATTGAAAGCTTCGCAGCAGACCTATTCCTGGTAGTTAGTATTTCAATTTGTCCATTTCACCACAATGATCAACGTCTCTCCAGATGTAACGAGCTGGGAGCTACAAAGCTGGTGCAGAGATGATTCATCTACACTTTAAATGCAGATATAATTAAGGATATGTGTCGACTCAGCGCGGCGTGACACGGTCGTGAGCTCAGCCGACCGAGAATCTGGCTCCTGAAATGCAGGAAGTACACAGCACCCATTTATTACAAAGTGTGTGAGGAGATCATGGAGACATAAGCTCACAGATACAGACGGTTTATAACTTAAAGGGACAGTTCACATTTACGACTCATGCTGACATAATCTGCCCAGTTATTACAGGTGATACACCTGTATGTCCCTGTTTTCTTATGGAAGTATTTTGAAGGTGCGGCGCACTGAAAACCATTTTTTATGATTAATTCTGATTATTATCAGTCTCTCTGGGTGTTTCATGCAGGCTGAACATGAAAGGAGTCTCCTACACCTAGCTCCTGCATTAGCTTCTGATAAAAATAGACAGAGAAACTCTAGGATTAGAAAAGTCTGACAGATCTACGTCACACTGTCACTAAACGTCTCGACTAGTAAAAGCTAACTGTTAGCATAAGCAACTTCACCACACAGCAGAACTCCTCCAGGCTCGTGTTATTTTTGAAGACGGAAGATCAAACGGAGTCGGTGGTAGTTTTGTTGCTGTTATCCAGTCAGAGGAGAGATGTCCAAATATCAGGAAGTAAGAATCCAAATCCTGTCTGAAGCTCTCCACTGACCTGGCAATCTTCTGAAACAGGTGCACCAGGGCTTTTTGTACCCAGAGTACGACATGCAAGGCATTCATTCCTACTAGAGACCACTGCAGAGGTACAGTGTGATCATGACAAATCAGGAGGTCTCCTATTGTCTCCTGATCTAATCTGTTTTTTCTAGTGATATATTTGTCCTTTCAGATTTTCTCTGTGACTAAAGGATTTTCGTTTTGAGTGTTTGTACATTAGCATTAAATTCAGTTCTCTATTTTGTTTTTATCTAAATCACGTTGATTGTAGATCCCAGATTTTCCTCATTATTAGATCAAATATGATTTCAAGATTTGCCTAATAATGTGTCCGGGTTAAAAAAAACAACAAGTAAACAAAAAACTACTACTAGTTTACCTGTTTAACCATAGATTCACTAGGATAAATAAAATAAAGTTTATCTCTCACCAAATAGAATATTTACTAAGAAATCACAATGTAACCATAGAAACATTACTTAGTATATATGTTGTGTGTGTGTGTGTGTGTGTGTGTGTGTGTGTGTGTGTGTGTGTGTGTGTGTGTGTGTGTGTGTGTGTGTGTGTGTGTGTGTGTGTGTGCGCGCGCGCGCTCTGTCTTCTCCATCCCCAGTGAGTCGTGGAGGATGGCTGCTTATACTGAGCCGGGATTCTCTGGAGGTTTCTTCCTGTTAAAAGGGAGTTTTCCTCTCCACTGTCGCTGCATGCTTGCTTAGTATGAGGATTGCTGTAAAGACTCTGACACGAGTCAGTGACTCGATGCAACCTGCTGGGTTCCTTATATAGGAAACTTTTGACTGATTGGCTTAATGACCTGACCTGTATTGGAATGTTTACTGTGTGAAGTGAGACGACTCTGGTCGTGATTTGGCGCTTTATAAATAAACTTGAATTGAAATTGAAACTTGAATGAAAACAGCCTACATCAGTTATTGTTTACTTCTGTACCCATGCATGCTCAGATTTGTTTCTGTTGCACATTGAGTCTGTAAACTTTAGGCTTTACTGTTGGTTCATGTAGAGATTCCAACGTTATTCCATCATCCCACTCTTAAGAATCTGTTTAGCTGTTTTAAATAGTTCTCCGTGGTCTTCAAACTATGATTTAGCTGTTTTAGCCTAAATCACAAAACCTGTGCCGTTTTCTAGTACTTCTGTCCTACTTAGTGGCCGTAGCTCATTAAAAATTCGTCTCTGGGTTGTGGGTGGAGCCGTTGCTGCAGAGAACAGGGATTCTTTAGTAAGGCGACCGACTTACATGCAGGGGACCCGGGTTCTAATGCCGACTGGGCCAGATTTCTTCAAATTGGTTTAGTTTTAGTTTTGTAACCTCCCAGGTCTCTGGGTCTGGCATGGCTGCTTGGTCCGATGATACGACTACAAAGTCTATCATCGACCTGTGACCTAGGCTGCCCTGGTACCAAGTGTACTGATGGGCATCCTTATGTTCGAACATGGTGTTCGTTACGGCCAAACTGCGGCTTGCACAGAAGTCCAGTAACGAAACACCACTCGAGTTCAGATCAGGCGGGCCATTCCTCCCAATCACACCCCTCCAGGTCAAGCTGTCATTGCCCACGTGAGCATTGAAGTCCCCCAGCAGGACAATGGAGTCCCCTGATGGAGCACTATCTAGCACTCGTCCCAGGGACTCCAAAAAGGGTGGGTACTCTGAACTGATATTTGGCCCATAAGCACAAACAACAGTCAGGACCCGTTCCCCGACCCGAAGGTGCAGGGAAGCTACCCTCTCGTCCCCCGGGGTAAACCCCAACACACAGGCAGTGTGTCTGCAGCACCAGCCTCGGGCTCTCTAGTTGATATATACCGTAAATCCTCTAATACAGGCCCGGGCCTGTATTTGACTCAAGCTCATCAAGCTCCAGGCCTTTATTGGAAGGAGGGCCAGTATTAGAGGCAGGCCTCTATTTCTATTTGAGCAAAATGAACTAATGGTTCGCTGGACTTTTTGACAATTAAAAGTGCGCCCACATTTTCAAAGTTAAACACATTTCTTTTAACAACGGTAGTTTCTGCTTCAGCCATCTCCCCCCTCCCCCTGCGCAGCGGCCGCAAACTCACTGATGCGCCTGCAGCCTCTCGGAGTTCCTGCTGCTCTAAACATTAAAATAATTATTTCATTTTCTGTTCCTCACTTCTGATTATCTTCAATGGTGTCTGTTTGTTGCAACCAGCAGGTACAAAAACTAACTTGTTTTTATTTGACTATTTTTCTGTCCTGCCTGTTTATTATCTTCCTGTATCTCCTCTCAATCCTAAAGAGAAACTGCTACCTGGGTTCATATATATTCACCTTATGAGTTACCTTTGAACTGCAGCTCTAAAAGATCTACCGACCGCTAAAACAGCGGAGCGCTCGCTATTTGGCGGCCGTATCAGTGATCAGTGCGTCGGAGGACAAGGTGACGCGCCCCGCTCCACAGCAGCGATACACATCAGGCGCAAATAAAAGACAGAAAACATTAAAGGAAATGAACCGACATGAACGATCGCGTGTCAGTACCTACGGTCTGGCACAGCGCGTTGCTGATCACAGAGAATGTGATCATACGATAATTCAATAGGGAGCGTGGTTTCACAGACGCGGAAGTGATAGCGTCGGTGCTCTAGGAAACCCCCGAGCGTTCGAGCGTCAACGAAGTGACACGGAAATGCCGGGCTTTCCAGAAGTTAGTAAGATAACTTACTATGAGCTGATAGTTCGTTGGATTGATCGGTAGGTTGGAAACTCTGATCATGAATCTGAAGAAACGATGACTGAGTGGTGAGCTGGAAAGGCGACTTCCGTTTATAGCCGCGGTTTGTGACGTAGGTGCGACGTGGAGGGAATCCCCGCGAGGGGCATGCTGGGAGTCCCTACTTCGCGGATTTTCACCTATCGCGGCCAGGTCTGGAACGCATCTACCGCGATAAACGAGGGATTACTGTAGTTCATACACCCCCTACTGCTGCTCTCCAGAGTGTTCTGCAGCATAATCAGCACGTTCTCTTTGAACTTGATAGTGTAATGACCTGGCTGGGGTTGTAAGCCAGGTGCATTCTGGGTATTGTGTTATATGTGTTTCCTATCGTTCTGCTAGTTCCTATGTGCTGATTTGCGTGTTGTGTGAGTGTTATGTAAGCCACAGGGAAGGTGATGTGTGTTCAGTGGAGCGGGTTGAATTAGCATGGTTAACTGACACCGTGACTCTGTGTGGTAGGAGCGTGATAGAGGATCGTGTCTGTAGCGTTACAAAGCGTTGAAGAAAAAGCCTAATAAAGGTCTGCGTGAACCTCTACTGCCACCTGCTGATTGATTTGTGGACTTTAACTTTGCCGCTGGGACGCTCATACTTGCTTGTTACCACATTCCATCCGGCCACAATAAGAGACCGGCCATTATTCACCTCTGCTGACTCCGACACCGGCCAAAATTGGAGACCCGGCCTTTAATTGAATACCGGCCTGTATTAGAGGATTTACGGTGTATATATATATACTGTTGTGGGCGCAGTGATATTTTTGTTTTGTTGTATTTTTGTGTCCCTTTTCTCTCTTTCTGCAGGTTTAGATGCACATCCTTGTGAAGCACCCCCTCCCCCACCTCTTCCTTTCTCTTTCACTTCTGTCTCCGTGTCCATTGGGATTCAAAACCACCGAAAATATTTCTAATAATGTTTTGGTATTAGGCGTGGCATTATAGCAGAAGAATGGCAGCTGTCGTGGTCTGCCTATATCTGTTTTTGTTCTACACGTTTGTGTGTGTAACCTTGGTCAGGCTGTGCTGCGGAGACAAGTGTCTGTGCATCTGGATGCTGGGGCACTGACAATAAAGTAGATTCTGATAACCTGTGAGAGAAAAACTGTGAGGCTTGTCTTCAGCATTCAGACATCAATTTAATTGTTTTACAGCCAGACAGGACACGGTATAAAAAATAAAAGTTGGACCGAGCTCGCTGGCACACACGCCGGTCAGACAGGACAAAGCAGCGCCGTGCAGCGGGTGGAGGACAGAACCAGACAGGTAGAGCTCAGAGCAGCAGACGGAGCAGGTGGATGACTTCTAAGCAACACTCCGGACCACCCAGATCATCATCAGGAAACGTGTTTGTTCATTCTGGGAAGAAAATAGATCATTATTTTTTGTTGCTTAGAATGAATTAATTCTATCAAAGTGATTTTCTGCAAACCATTTTCTACCGTGAGGTTCAAACAGTCACTCTGCTCAGGAAAATGTAATTAACCAGAACATTTTCAGGGTTCATGATATTAATGATATTATTATCATTATTATTTCTTTCATCATGAAAATACTTTATTGATCCGTAAGAAGTTTTTGTGATTGCCGTTGTACCGGTACTGTTGCTTTAACAGACATGTTGGTTGTTTGGTTAGGTGCTACACACAGGTGTGTGTGTGTGTAAAGTAGTGAGAGGAAAAGTAGTCCCTCGTGAATTGTTTGAATCCAGATGTGAGCATGCTATGACAACGTCATCACTGAATTTTTGCAGATGAAATTTTTGCTGGTGTATTTTAGGATAAAAATTTCAAATACATAATTTCACAGAATAAAACATCAGTGTCATAATTCCAACGTCTAAAAGGTCGTAATCTGGTGAGTGTTTTCTTCCATATCGCTGTTATATTGGTGCTTAATAATAGCTTATTTATGTCTAAGAGGGCTGTGCAATATGACTAAATACATGACCTGCCCGCCCTATACCACAGTTATTCACCCGTTCACACACATGCTGATGGTGATGAGCTACATTGTAGCCACAGCTGCCCTGGCGCACTGACAGAGGCCTCCAGCAGGCAAGGAGGGTGAAGTGACTTGCCCAAGGACACGACGACTGACACAGCTGGAAACTGGATTTGAACCAGCGAGCTACCGCTAACAGGAAACTCCTAAGCCCTGAGTGGGGCTGGGCGATATGTCCTAAAGTCAATATCTCAATATGTTGAGGATTTCCCCTCGATAACGATAAGTGGACGATAACCACAGGTATGTGCAGAAACCAAAGCTGTCCACTAGATGGGGCTGTCGTGTCACATTTTTGCGTGACTCAAAGTGGTACAGCTTCACGTTGCCAACCTACACACATCTTCTCATTTTTTTTATTACCAAATTTATTGACATGGGAAAAATCTTGATAAGAGTCAGGAATTTTGATAACAATAAATTCTCCAGTTATTGCCCAGCCCTACCCCAGAGCCACCAGAACAAATCATCAGATGACAAATTCAAAAATATTTATCATTTTCTGCGGAACACACAGCCATATTTTTCACCACTTGAAAATGGGTAGTAACCATGGCAACATGCGGATGTAGCCACAGAGCTGGCAACATAGCCGGTGAAGCTGAGACCGATCTGGTAACTCCTAACGGGAGCGGCCAGCCAAACAAACAGAAGAGTTTCTCCTGAGAGTCTAAGGAGGGTGTTCACGGTGAGCTGAGAAGAGGTCCGCTGCAGGCAGAACAAAGTTCAGAGCAAAGTCCTAACCCTAACCCAGAAAAGGTGATGATTCATAACCCACACAGAAAGGACGTTAGCTAGTGCTAGCCTCGGTTTTAGCTGGCGACCACATGAAAATGCAGCTGAAACTAAATGTTCTGGTTTTTTGGATAGAAATTTGAGTCATATCACAAATACAATAGAGAATAGTCTAGCATCCACTCAGGAAAAGTTTGTAAATTCATTATTAAACTCATATCTTCATGAAACCCGTAATTCAGACCCTGTGGTCACTTTAAAGGTGTCCACTGAGCTTCAGCACAATAAATGCGTCAGTAGCTGTTATTCATTAGTTTTGAAACCCATGCTCTTGCCGATTTTAAAAGTCAACTAGAGAGCCCGAGGCTGGTGCTGCAGACAAACGGGGACAGAGCAGACTGTATTCTTTGTGCTGTGCTAAACTGGGAGCAAATGCCAGGCTTCCACATGGGTCTAAGGAGTGGAACGGGCTAAAGTAACAGCCCCAGGCAGGTTTTGGTCAGAGAGGTGGCTCTGGAAAACAAAGGCTCCAACTGTTGGCTCCGTAACCTCACATCAAGTGATGCACCATTAAAGAATAAATACACTTTTTACATGAAACAACGCAAATTTGAAAAGGACGATTGTGCTTACTGAGATCCCCAAACAAGCGTAGATAATTACTTTGCTTGGCTTTGAAATGACGAGCCGAGTGTGTCTTTCTTTGTATTCGGAGGCGCGGAGGAGAAGGAAGCTCTTAAAGCGCATTAGAGCCTCGTCTTAAGTCACACACAGGAGTGCTTTTTGTTTTTATGCTAGCAGCCTAAAAGACAGAATCATGCTTGAGATGCTTGGATACCATCCTTATGAGGTATGTTCAAAATCATTATGCTTTGGGAAAATGTCATTGATTAGAACTGATTTAATGTGCAGATGTCCTTTTCACTGCTGAGTTTCTGGGTTTATTCATCGTTGCAGCAAAACCTAAATCTATGACGGTTTAATAACAGATCTGTAAACGAGAGCTGGGTTGCTGCAGCAGTGTGGAAAAGCTGCTGACACATTTAAGGATCATTATTGTTGTGTGGATCAATCAGAGTGATAAATTTGCAAATGCAGAGATAGATATCATCTTTTGGCAGCATCTTAGCATAATAAAGCGTAACGAAGTGTTTGTCCCATCTATTAGAATATCTGAGCTGGCTCTGCATGAAGAGAGTCAGGAGAGACTCTGAGCTAAAGGAAGTTAGTTTTATCTGTCAGCAGATAAAACTAACTTCCTCCCTGTGATCACTCGTGCCTGAATCTGACATGGTTGTTATTTTTTGTTAACAGGTCCAGACCCACCTGGAAAACCCCACCAAGTACCACATCCAGCGCTCCCAGCAGCAGCAGGTGAAGCGCTACCTGGGAAGGCTTGGCTCCCAGGCTTTGAGCTTGCCCTGCCCCAACCAGTCCTCTGACCACGGGGGCATGCCGCCAGGGCCGGGCAACAGTGCCCCCAACAGCCCCATGGCCTTACTGACCCTCAACTCTAACTGCGAGAAAGAGGTGTGTGTGTGTGGGTGGGGGGGGAAACTTTCTATAAACATTTTGTGTTAGCAAAGACGATTTAAGCTTGTTGTTGCTTCCAGATGGATGATGTCATTGACGACATTATCAGTCTGGAGTCCAGTTACAGTGATGATATCCTCGGCATGATGGACCCAGGACTTCAGATGGCTAACACGGTACGGGTGTGTGTGTGTGTGGTGTGTGTGTGTGATGTGTGTGTGCGTGCGTGCGTGTGGTGCTTCGTCTCCAGTAATTAGCCTGCTCCCAGAGCTAGGCTGAGCTCTGCTGAAAGGTCACAATGTGAGGAATGATTGGATGATAAATAATATGTAGCAATGGGTAGTTTACATCATACTTATGAACCATAAAATGTGAGATTCCATAGAAATATGAAATATCAATCTGATGGATCTTTGAATATTTTAACCAGAAGATCAGAACTTTTTATTGCAGGGATTAAGCGACACTTCGTATTAACTCCGAGGAAAGGGAGAGAGTCAGGTTTATAATAGTTAAAGGGACTTTACAGAGTTTTGAATTTTTACGCTCACGATCGCCCCCTCAGGCCAAAAGCGTAACGGCAGCTTCAATAGTAGGCTCGTGCACGAGGCGCCCATGCTGTACGTGCACACTCCTTAACGAAAATAACAGCTGAGAGTCAGTCAGCTCCGTGTGTGTGTGTGGGGGGGGGAGCCGGAGGACAGAGGACAGGACAAGGCACAGCTAATTAATTAAATAATGTGGTTCTGTACCTTTCTCTTCAGCACAGCCGACAAAGGTTTATGATGGGTCAGTCCTCCTGCATGCTCAGATCATTCCCTTCCCTTGCTTGAAAAATTGTTCCAAAATGAAAGTTGAACCCACATCTTTTTCATCTGTGAATTCAATGTCGTTCGGCGAGTCTCAAATAAAAATTTGGGCATCTTACTGTAAAAAAAATATACCATTAATGTAAAAAAGAAACTCTAAATAAATTATGTTCACATCCAGAATCGAACCCAGGTCTTCTGCATGAGAGTCAGGCATCTTATAAGGTGAGCTAAACACCAGTGATATTCGCAGCATCTGTAACATTTATATCCTTGATGACAGCTGAAACAACGTCACATCAAAGAACGGTTCGGAGCGAAAATGGCTTTTTTGTTGCTAATTTGCACGAAATATCTAGAAGAAAGTAGCTAAGGGTCCTCAGAAATGTAGCTAGCTTTGTCACTAGGCGTTAGGAACAGCGACAAAGTGGCACTGCCTCTCTCTCTGCTGCTAAAGCTACGGATAGCAAATGCTACGGGCGATGCCTGAGCGTGAACGCGCATGAAGCAGCCTGCTCGACCCGAGCATCTCTCTTTTTCTGTGAGTTTACAGAAAAACAGGCAATCACAGTAAAAATGCCAGGGCTCATTCTACAGGACCAGGGCATTGCAGGAGAATGTATGAAGAAGACATTTATTATTTCTATACATGTTTTGGCTGTCACACTTCCATAATGTCCCTTTAAGAGCTTTCTTTCTACACAATTTAAACAAGACTAACTTTAACACTCTGTGTACTGATGGAACTAAGGTGGAGTGAGACGTGAGATGAATGATGTATGTGTGTGTTAGGGCTGCAACAAACGATTATTTGGATAATCGATTAATCGGATGGGGTCTCGACACGATTAATCGATTAATCGGATTACATAGGGACATTTTAAAAAACTGCTAGGGAAACGTTATTTTTCTCCTTCCTTCACTTTATTAAACACGCCATTATTAGAAAACAGTTCAATAGCAGAAAAACAACATGCCATCACCTAAATTGTCTTATAAGGTGTATAGACAGAGACCCTAAGCTACATCTATCTGTGACCTAAAATGCTTGGTCCAAGTTAAACAGCTTAAAGAGCAAGTCAACCCCTACCAGAGTCTAACTCCACTCCCGCTTCATGTTTGAAAAATGCAACACATGCTGTTGCCTGGCAGACCGAGAGGGCGGAGCCGCTAACAAATACACACACACTCAGGCTCACGACAGCATTGTGACATCATAATGTACCAGTTTACATCATAGCATACTTCTTAGCCAATAGCGGTGGCAGATTTAAATTAAAATACAGTGCAGAGTTTTTACCTGACAATGGCACAACACTGCCAGTTTGAGGCAGAATATTTAAATTTTAACTAAGATGCACTGAAGTGCCAAATTATTGACGACACGTGTCTGCAGCACGATTAGACACTCGTTTATTTAGTTTATCAGCAAAAAAAAGTTTATTTGGGGGTGACTTGCTCTTTAAGGGCAATTCTCATCTGTTTTGTTTGATCTCATCTGTGGACATTTATTATAATTGGGGATGTCAAACAACTAATTTTTAAATGTAATTAAACATAGGCTGTGAATTAATCAAAATTAATCACTATTTCCAAAAATGACTGAAACAATACCAAATAAAACAAAAATAAATGAATGCCATCCTCCTTGTGATGATGCCCTGGGCAACTGCCATAAAGTCACATCAAGAAATGCTGCTGATCATTCCAATGATCCCAAACAGACTCACATTAGGCCACATGAAAGCAACTGAACCCAAAAATATATTAACCAGTATATAACTGCACTCTCACACAACACGCCTGCAGCAACAGTTAGGACTCCTCCCTCCCTTTTAAGAGCGTTTTCGCTTCTGAGGACATTGTGGTTGTAAAGCCACATGCTAGTAGTCTGGCCCCGGTGTGATCAACCAGTTTCTGCGGAAATGTGACGGCGGAACCGGTTCGCAGCGGCGCGAGTCCCCCCCCCCCCCATCTAATAGCGTCGCGCTTACAATTTTATAGACTTTTTTTTACGAGCTTAGGGCATGTCTAGCCTGTGTAATAATCCGGGGCTTGGGTGAATCACATTTGAAAAGTTTTTAACTTACCCGGACACCGAGCTCTCTCCTTCCTCGCTGATGATTCTGACATGCTTGCGTTTAAGACGCTGCATCATCACCGTAGTATCCCCGTGCCATGCTAAGTCTGACCTACAAACATTGCATGTCTTCGCCTGATTTAACTGAAAATGCTCCCAAACTTTAGAAGTTTTTACTTTTTTGGGGTCTCGCTGCTTCTGCCATGTTCCTCTTGCAAACACCTGCCGGCTCTCCACCGGTCTGTGCGCAACGGCGGGCGGGAGGGGAGGGGGCTTTTGGAAGAGTTGCGCAACACAACGAATCGATGACGCAATTCGTTGCCAACGCTTTTAGTAATCGATTTTCATCGAATTTATCGATTCGTTGTTGCAGCCCTAGTGTGTGTGGAATGTTGTTATCAGAACCAGCGGATCCGGAGAAGCGGTTAGTTCTGAGTGGGAGTGAATGTTTCGCTCTAAACTTTAGTCGGAGATTTATAACACACATGAGACGCCATCTGTCGGTCTACGTACCCCAGGGGAAGCCTCTGTTAGATCCAGAATGTCGAGGTACTCCTGGACCCTCCTTGGTACCGAAGCCGGTAGAAAAGCAGCGGCGCCGACCAAACTAGTCTTGGAATGCTTCCAGGTCACGACAGGTTATTATTGGCATCAGCGAGACCCTGAAGGGGTCGTGAGGTTCAGCTTCTATTCTGAAGGAACCGTTGCGGTCAGGTGTAACGTGCAACAGATTTTATCCAGCTTGTCAAGGTTCTTTTGGCTGAAGAGGAAGTCCAGATGGCCCGTCCAAGACTTCTCTAGAATGCTTTGAACTAAAGAAAAGGTGGCGTGGGATTATTTTTATAACTGTCATATTTTGGTTTACTGGCAAATCAGAATTTGACATGCAAAAGAGGGTTTACACAAACACCACAGAAAACCACGCCTCGCCTCAGAAACGAAGGTTCTGATTGGATCAGACAAAAGGAAATGTGTGAAGCAGTTCAGATGAGCAGAGTGCATGAAAGACCTTGGCCACTATCTCATGTAGATTAGGCTGTCAGAGACGTTATGTCTCTGCTCGAGCAGACGCAGCAGATCATGACCTTTAGGTCAAAAACAGGACATTCATGACGCTACAATATTAAGGAAGGATTACCAGCTGCTGGAAACTGTTTGACATTTTAGAGACCACAGAGACGGCTCTGCACGCTCACTCAGAACCCACCCACCCATTGCGGATCGTTAACTGGAACCTTTTCTCTCTGCTTAATAAGCTTGTTTTATGAAGCTTGCACCGTTTGCTGATTGGAGTGCAACCATGAGGTGTGAACTTTCTGCTTCCCCTCAGATCCCTGTGCCTCCTAACCTAATGGACATGTATGGGAACCAGGGTATGCCTCAGCAAGGCCTGCCCATCAGCAACTCCTGCCCCGCCAACCTGCCCAACATCAAACGAGAATACTCAGGTGAGCATTAAGTGTTTTCATCTTGCTAAACTGCAGAAGAAAACATATATTCATATACAACATGTCTGTAGTATTTACTCTCACCCCTAAGCCATGTTGAGGTGTGTTAACGCTCTGGGGGTCGTTACAGCCCCCGTTGAGAAACAAGGCTCTAGCTCATAACCGTCGTGTGATTTTCCTATGACTTGGGATCTTGCCTCCACTGGTCTTAATGCATTGATTTTGTTATTATTTTGATTATAAATATAATATTTTCACTCACACAGTGTCACAGTCTCCGGCCATCATGCACATGCTGGATAAGTCCGGATCCTGTGGTAAATTTGACTCCTATCAAAGGCCTGAAGGGTTCCCTGTGGGTGCGTCTGAGTATTTAGTTTGACACACAACACTAGCAGACAGCTAATGATGATTTTTTTCATCAATAATCATCAAGTGCTCTCCAAGTTTTATTGATCAATCAAAGCATTTGTTCCAGAAGCTGAGGTAAGAGCCATGGCAAAGGAAAGGCAGAAGAAGGACAACCACAATTTAAGTACGTTATCATCTTGACTTGTAAAATGGGATTGTTTTTACATCATTTAGAATCACGTAAAAATTACATGGTACTTGTTTTTTGGTTTATGTTTCACAGTTGAGAGACGACGGCGATTTAACATCAATGATCGAATCAAGGAGCTGGGAACTCTGATCCCAAAATCCAATGATCCGTAAGTTATAGAGGGAATCTTCCACTTTTGTTTACACCAGGCTTAGAGATTCATCCATCCATCCATTACCTGGGCCTGTGGGGTGCTCAATCTAGCAGGCATTGGGCGACAAGCGGGGGAAAACCTAGACAGGCCTCCAGTCCTTCACAGGAACACAGAGACAAATGGCCATTGTGGAGAACATGAGAACATGTTTGTAGAGAACATATATGTGGAGAACATGTCTGTAGAGAAATTGCATGTGGAGAACATGTATGTGGAGAGCATGCATGTGGAGAACATGAGAACAAGTATGTGGAGAACATGCATGTAGAGAAAATGTATGTAGGGAGCATGCATGTGGAGAACATGTATGTAGAGAACATGTATGTGGAGAACATGTATGTGGAGAACATGCATGTGGAGAACATGTATGTGGAGAACATGCATGTGGAGAACATGCATGTAGAGAAAATGTATGTAGGGAGCATGCATGTGGAGAACATGTATGTGGAGAACATGTATGTGGAGAACATGCATGTGGAGAACATGCATGTGGAGAACATGCATGTAGAGAACATGTGTCTAGAAAACATGCATTTAGAGAACATGCATGTAGAGAATATGCATGTAGAGAACATGTATGTGGAGAACATGCATGTAGAGAACATGTGTCTAGAAAACATGCATTTAGAGAACATGCATGTAGAGAACATGTATGTAGAGAACATGTATGTGGAGAACATGTATGTGGAGAACATGTATGTGGAGAACATGCATGTGGAGAACATGTATGTGGAGAACATGCATGTGGAGAACATGCATGTGGAGAACATGCATGTGGAGAACATGTCTAGAAAACATGCATTTAGAGAACATGCATGTAGAGAATATGCATGTAGAGAACATGTATGTAGAGAACATGTATGTAGAGAATATGCATGTAGAGAACATGTATGTAGAGAACATGTATGTGGAGAACATGCATGTAGAGAACATGTGTCTAGAAAACATGCATTTAGAGAACATGCATGTAGAGAATATGCATGTAGAGAACATGTATGTAGAGAACATGTATGTGGAGAACATGCATGTGGAGAACATGTATGTGGAGAACATGCATGTAGAGAACATGTATGTAGAGAGCATGCATGTGGAGAACATGTATGTGGAGAACATGCATGTAGAGAAAATGTATGTAGAGAACATGCATATGGAGAACATGTATGTGGAGAACATGCATGTAGAGAACATGCATGTAGAGAAAATGTATGTAGAGAACATGCATGTGGAGAACATGTATGTGGAGAACATGCATGTGTAGAACATGCTACTCCTTACCTTCTTGCCTACAGGCTACCGCGTTACTATCTGCATCACTATGCAGCCTGACTTGAAAGTCATTTTTCATAAGGAACCTTTAGAAAAGATGTAAATGAAGCACAAAAATCCAGAGTTCTGTTCACGCTTTCTAAAGTTCAAGTGAAACTAAAATCCGGTCCGAGTCATCTTTTTAACACAGAATCCCTCATTGTGCTTTTTTCTTTCTGCAGCAGAAAACTGCAGCTAATTGCTGTAACTGATGAATCTTTCTATTAGCTTCAGATGAACTTTACCGTTCATGTTTGTAGATTTGATCTGTCTTTTTTATTTTTATTTATTTATTTTTATTTTTATTTTTTTCAAATAATGTATTGAGAAAACGTGACCTTCAGTTACTCATCAGTTTTAACTCCACAGAACCCTGGGGCATATTCTAGAAATGTAATCCTTCTGCGTTTATTTGATCAGACGTGCTCTACGGTATCCATAAATTGTAATCCTATCCTTACGTGACCTGGCAGCCTCTTTCGCTCTTGTTTGTTTAAGCCTGCTCAAACCTAGCCTGCCGTTCACAAACACACCCGTGTTGAAACCAAACACGATGATGTAAGAGTATAGCACTCTACTTCATCAGAACAGAGCCACCAGCCAACGTGTAATGCTGGAGATCTCTGCTGTGGTTCAACACGTTACTCTGCCATCCCAGAATATGCAAACCAGGCTCTACTCTTTACTCGATGACTCTCCTTTAAAGCTGCTTTAGCGAATCTGCAGAACAAGCTAGGTTTTGAACGCGGAGTGATGGAACACTCACCCCTCCCCTCGGATATCTTCCCTGAGACACTTCTGCTGGAATCAGCGACCCACGATGCCGGAGGGAACGAGATAGCTCTAAACACCAGTCACAGTTTTCGATGTCCAAACGTCTTTTGTTGTCCGTGACTTCAAACTGTGTTTTTCTTTTTTGACTCTGGTGGATTGTCCTAAAGTTGCAGCGGTAGCAGTCGGCTGTTTCTCCTTCTCTGTTATTATTGAGCAGAGAACCTCACACCAGTGGTGTTCTCATGATAAACACGGGAGTGTGTAATGAGTGGAGGACCCAGGGAAGTGCGACGTTTTTAAACAAATGTGAAAGTAGCACTTCGTTTTTTTTCCCTCATCTCCACAATATATTTATAGCGATAGTATGTTGGAGCATGAAAAAGGTTTTAAGCTAATGTGTTTTCCAAATCTTCTATAACAGCTTTAACTTGACTGTTGGTGGACTGAAATGAAAGTTTCTGATGTGAGCATCAGCCAGACAGTGATGGGATGTATGTGATTCCCAGAGACATGCGCTGGAACAAAGGCACCATCCTGAAAGCATCCGTGGACTACATCCGGAAGCTGCAGCGCGAACAGCTGAGGGCCAAGGAGCTGGAGAACCGTCAGAAGAAGCTCGAGCACGCCAACCGACATTTGATGCTAAGAATACAGGTAGAGGCTTAAAAGTGACAGGTGACATGAAGATGGAGCCACAGCTGTACAGAACCTGGTTACAGTTAGCGACGTTAAGTGTACTACAAGTGTTACTGAATAAAATTTTAGGATTCAAATATCGTAGGCAAAATTTGAATAAAGTATAAACTAAAAAATCACTTTTTCATCATTTTAAAAGAAATCCTCAATAACATTTGGGATCAGAAATGAAAAATCGGCAACATCAAGTCCTACAGGTGCTGTCGTAATAAAGCAGCCCCGCACTACCACACTCCCACTGCCATGTTGGACTGCTGCTATGATGCTGCTTTTCTGAAATGTAGAGTTGGATTTACTTCAGAAAAGGGTAGAACGCCTTCTCCGGGTCAGGGATGAGGTCCTGCCCCAAGTGGAGGAGTTTTAGTATCTCGGGGTCTTGTTCACGAGTGAGGGAAAACTGGAGCGTGAGATCGATAGGTGGATTGGTGCTGCGTCTGCAGTGATGCGGGCGTTGTACCGGTCTGTCGTGGTGAAGAGAGAGCTGAGTCAGAAGGCGAAGCTCTCGATTTACCGGTCGATCTACGTTCCTACCCTCACCTGTGGCCATGAGATTTGGGTGGTGACCGAAAGAATGAGATCGCAGATACAAGCGGCCGAAATGAGTTTTCTCCACAGAGTGTCTGGGCTCTCCCTTAGAGATAGGGTGAGAAGCTCGGTCATTCGGGAGGGGCTCGGAGTAGACCTGCTGCTTCTCCACATCGAGAGGAGCCAGTTGAGGTGGCTCGGGCATCTGGCCAGGATGCCTCCTGGACGCCTCCCTGGTAAAGTTTTCCAGGTACGTCCAACCGGGAGGAGACCTAAAGGTAGACCCAGGACACGGTGGAGGGACTATGTCTCTCACCTGGTCAGGGAACGCCTTGGGATTCTTCCAGAGGAGCTGGCCCAAGTGGCTGGGGAGAGGGAAGTCTGGGCTTCTCGACTTAGGCTGCTGCCCCAGTGACCTGACCCCAGATAAACAAATGAAAATGGATGGATGGATTTACTCCGGATGGAACGGGACACGCATCAAAAATGTCCCACTTTTGTCTCAACAGCCTACAAAAGTCTTGGGGATCGTGCAGATGTTTTTTTTTTGTGACTGACCAGCGTTGACCGTGATGACGTTTAAGTATAACAGCATTATTTTTTAGGTAACGGAGTAATCTAATGAATAGATTTTCCCATCGTTGCAACACAATAGTGGGCATGGAAAGTGCATGTTACTCCATTACTATAATGTGGTTGAACGACGCACAGCAGGCTGTCTGACAAGACACACTGTTGGTGTGTCATTTGTGCACGAAGCGGCTCTTGAGCTGACCGGAGCTGGAGTGACTGATACCGGCTGTACCCGCACCCGCCATACCACCCGAGCTAGTGCTCCCAACGACAAAAATAAACACACGGCATCAAACACATCATGTGCTTGCAGATCGAAGATGAGTGTGTGCTCAGCGCCGCACACACAGATAAACGATCAATCATGAACAAGTCTGCTTCTAGACCTGCAGAAAAGGGACGCGCAACAATACAACAGGAGCAAGCTATCACTGCGTCAACCTGATGAGGAAATAGAAAATCAACATTGTTTTACTGAACAATCACAATAATAAACCACAGTGCATTTAGTGCCAACCACAGCCTTAAGACATGTGTTGAACGTGCCCAAGCCCATACTTATGAGAGCATCATGTGAGCACCTGTGTGTGTACACGCGCTTGTTTATTAGGGCTGTAGCGAAGCCTCAACGAAGTCGACGGCTCGATTCTAAAAATTTGTCGACGTCAGATCCGGAAGTCGACGCACCGCGCCCACTTGTTGCATCCCCAGGAGTTTGTAAATAGAGGAGGAATCTGCCTGTTTATCCTCTAGTTCGCCCTCTTCTCCGCGTTCACTAACATCTCCGCCAAATACCGAAGACCCGGAACAACGTCCGTCCACTACTAGATTATTTTCCTGTTTTGCCCGCCTTCGTCTCCCGGCAACGGACAACAACTTCCGGGGTCAGATGCGCTGCTTCGTGTCTATCGCAGATGTAGAAAATCACCGGGAGCGCTTCTCCCTTCATTAAGGAGCTTCTTTCAGACATGAGGAGAGCTGTTTTGGTGGTAGCAGTCTCTCCTCCGTGCTGGTCTGTTTGCTGCTGGGTGTTTTTGGTTTATTTAAACTTGGTAACTTGAACTTAACGTTGGTAAAGCTACTGTTAGCATCTTCGCTAACAGCTTCTTGCGTTGGGATAAGCTGTTACGTTTTGGTTTAGAGTTCATCTTTTTTGTGGTGTAGATCTCCCTTTTATTACATTTAGAGTGTTGTGGGTTTTCAATTTAGTATAAAATATCACCTGAGTTTGGTTTAACCCGTAACACCACTCGCCTCACGCACATAAGTGACCAAAACAAAGCAGCATGGAGACACTCCATCTTCTACCACCTCTCAGGCAGCAGCCTGCACTCCCAAGTTCTACACGTCACCAGAACATAACCAACCGCAACACAATAAACGCAGTGTTATAGAAAATGGAAGGCCTGTAGTGTTTATTCTCTTACAGTAACAATTTATCAATTTTTTTGAGGAATTTATTTGAGATTTTCTGGTTTTTGTTAATTGTGCAATAGAAAAATAATCATTAGATTAATTTTCTAAATAGTCATTAGAATAGTCGACTATTCGATAAAATAATCGTCAGAATAATCGTTTTAAAAATAATCGTTTACCCCCCGCCCTATTGTTTATGTAAGGTTTCTCTATAGGAGCGTCCAATAGAGAGTGTGAGGGGCCACAGATCTGCCCCCTAAAGATGTGTAGGAGACGGAAGGAGCTCCAAGTCCCAGAGATCCAGGAGCTGCCCCAGAGCACAGGGACCCCAGGGAGACTGTAACCAGAAAAGCCCCCCCCCCCCCCCTCGAGAGGCGCAGAGGATTGCCCCGGGGGGCCACAACCAGCAGCCGGCAGAGTCCCGGGAGATATCAACGGCAAGCCCACAGGCCCGCCCGCAGCCTCCCACCCCCTAGCCGGTCGAGCCCGGTCGTGGAACTTTCTAATAGAACAAGTAGAGAAAATAGTGAAGATGGATGTGAGTCAGGAAGTATGCTGATGTTTTATATTCGATTTAAAAAGCTTCGTCTTCCCCAGCAGAGCTCACAGAGGACTGTTTATATCCATGCCTGACCCCCCTGACAAATGTGTGCGTGTGTGTGTGTGTGTGACTTGCAGGAGCTGGAGATGCAGGCACGGGCTCACGGTCTGGCCATCACCTCCTCGGCACTCTGCTCTCCTGATCTTGGAGCTCGGACCATCAAGCAGGAGCCCGCTCTGGAGGACTGTCACCAGGACCTGTACACGCTCCACCCGCACCAACGCCACCCCTCCTGCACTCCCGAGCAGCCCGGCGCCCTGGAGCTAAACAACGGCCGCTCTAACTTTTCCGAGATTCACTACGGCGTTCACGGCAAAGCGGGCTCCAAACTCAACGACATCCTGATGGAGGACACCCTGTCCCCTGTGAGGGGGGGGGACCCTCTGCTCTCCTCGATTTCTCCAGACGCTTCAAAGGACAGCAGCCGTAAGAGCAGCGTCAGCATGGATGAGAATGAGCCAGGCTGTTAGCGCCCCCTAGTGAGAGGCACCAGATCGCCGCCCCGTCTGTGTTTACATGTGTTCACCATTTTTATTCAGTTTTCTATTGTTTATATCTCTCCAACCTTGATCGTGAGGACTGATTTTAAGGTGTTTGCTTTAATCAAGACTGTGTTGTGAATGAGGTTTAAAAATAGATGTTTTTGTATTTAAAGTATGCGTTTGGACAGAAGTAGAGTTTTTCCTCCTGTTGATTCCAAAGAAGCTAGATGTGTGGAGATGAAGACTGCTTTTAAAATCACTAGCAATAACAGAAGCAACACTATTTATTTCTATAGTGCGTTACACTCTTCGTGTCTTAGACTTGAATGTGCCACGGCCTTATTCAGACCTGTACGCGTTGTCGTTGTACTGCTATGCACACGTTTTAGCTGATAGTCTGTCGGTCTTCCAGGTGAACTTCCTCTCTTGATCACTATTAATCATTTGTAGACTTGATCTTGTTTATGCATCTTTGTATACTGATTTATATCGACACATTCCCTGGAAACCTCATTTATAACGAGGCAAACAAAAGAGCCTGAGGTGATGAAACGGCACAGAAAACAGAAAAAAATGTCATTTATTACCGACCGGTTTTACTTTCGTGAAGAGAAACAATCAGATCACAAGACGGAGTTTGAGTTTCAGCACATATTTAAAGTTGTGTTCGTATTGTGACCACTTCAGTGACGTGTCACCTTCAGGGTTCTGTTTCTTTTTTATTTTTATAATATGTGAAATGTTTAAAGAGACTGCTTTTGTATGAAATGTTGTCCAACACTGAAAAGAAAACAGCTTTTTAATCAAAGCAGAATTTTAACGTTGGCATTTGTTATGTGGCACACGCTCTTTGCCAGACTACTTTTCGGCTGGTTCAATTGCGCACGGGCTGCTGCCACACGTCCATGAATCACCCGCTAACGTCTCTAGAACAGCAACGCCTTCATGTAGTCAAACTATGCAATGGTTAACGTTGTGCCTGTGGAGCGTCCTGCCTTGAAAATGTGATCTTTGTGAGGTAGTTTAAGGTGGTGTGACGGTAATTACCTTTTCGTTTAAGTGCCTTATAGTTACTTCTGTTACCGTGGTGATGTACGACTACTGATGCTATACTTCTGCTGATGCTAACTCTGGTGTTTGGTGCTTTTGTAGATGAACAGCTGAGGCCGAGGCCGCCTACAGGGCAGCACGAAGGGCTGTTTGTCAGGGTGAGAGATTCACAGGAAGAGCTTTGTTGTAGAAAAACTCCAAAGTGTTCGATGTCAGTTACATTATAATTACAGTAGATGGCTTGTGTCCATAATCTTCAGTTAGAAGCACTTAAAAGGCCACAAACGTTCAAACCGTTTTAGTTTAAAAAGATAAAACTAGCTTAACCCGCTCAACGATTAAGGAAACACATTATTTTGATAAAAAATAACATTTTTTGTGTTAAAATGGGGTTTGTACGTTTCACCTTCGCCTTTGTTCAGAGAAAAGAACTCGTTCAGATCAGTAAAAAGCTCACCCGGTTTTCTGTGTCCTGAAACACCCCCGATGTGAACAAAGGCATTGTGGGAAGTTTTACTTATTGGCTCTAGAAACAAAAAGATGGACAGGATGTTAGCCAACCTTTAGCTCTTTTTCGACTTCCTTTAACAGAACTATATTCATAGCTTTTAGTTAAAATACCAAATAACCATAAAACCTCAGCTCTCATCTGGGTTAGCAGCTGCTAGCCAACTGGAACGCATCATCATACTGCATAAGAACATTTGAGTTGGCTTTAACTTCATTTAATTCAAACCATCCTTTTGTTACGTTTAAATTTGATGCTGAACACTTTGGAGCCGCTGCTGTGTATTACACGCGCCCCCTCCTCCTGAGACTGCTGTGAATGTAGTTCTTGCCAAATGAGTGCCAAAAATGAAAGTTGTGGTATTTATGCAAGAAAAGACGCGGATTAACGGATTACAGGGTGTGAACTTTCAGTGGTGGAAGCGTGTTGACGAGTCGAAGCTTGACTCAGACGGATGACTTGTGCACCTGATGAAATCCTCTGAGCACGCCCCACCCACCGACCGGGTCAGAGCATTCTGTTGAGGCTGCCATTTTTACTCCTGTTCAGTCACTCATGAGGAAATGTGCTCACCCCAATGGAAACTTTTACTCCAGTGGTCCTGCCCACGCTACGTTGCTACTGTTTTTAATGTTTCTAAGAGATGGATGTTGCAGTAGCTACTGTGCCCACCGTTTTCAGATGGAACCTGTAAGATCTATTAAAGATTTATTTCAACCTTGTCGGAGCTCTTGTGCTTTTTTATTCCCTTTAAATCCGAATTATAAATGTTTAAGATGCAAAGAAAAAAATCAAACGCTTTGTTTTGCGTGAAGTACATTTTTTATGACACCGTCTTGCTTTTATCTGTGAGGACATGTGTTTTCTATTATGGGGTGCCATTTGTAAAGTCAAACAGTCATAATCTAACAGCAATATTTTTGGTTATTTAGCATATAAGAGAAAAAATTGGGAGTTCACTTTTTTGAAGTCATATTTTCACCATGTTATTCATACATTTATAAATGTTAAAGTTTCTAAATACATATTTAGTTAGCAAGCTAAATATTTAATTTGTAGTTAAATATTTATTTTGCAAACTAAACATTTAGGTCTGATCATAATATTTAGTTTGTAAAATAAATATTTAATTCCCTAACTAAATATTTAATTTACTAATTAAATATTTATTTTGGAACTAAATATTTAATTTGTCAATTAAATATTTATTTTCCAAAATAAATATTTAGATCCCAGCTAAATATTTATTTTGGAGCTAAACATTTAGTTTGCAAAACCAGTATTTGAGAAATAAATATTTAAGTCTGACCCAAAAATATAAAATATAGTGTGGAGCTAAGTAAGGGGCAGAAATCATAAGATTTTTTCTTCTATCTGCTCCTTTTCATTCAAATGTTTTTTTTCCAATATGTTAATGTATCCTGTATTTGTTTGTGTTTATTTTATACATTGTGAATGAAATAAAAGATAAAAAAAAAGTAACATTGTGGAAAATAAATATTTAGCTGGTGCTTAAACATTTAACTAATATGCAGATTTGCTTGCCAATAAGCGGAAGTTGGTTACCAAAATAAAAGCTGGATCTCGCTAACTTCTTTATAAACTCTTGCTCCGAACCAGAACTTTTTTTATCTCTGGTTCTATTCTTCTGAACATGTCCAACGTGTTGGCTGAAGAAGAGTAGAACCGGAGATAAAACAAGTTCTGAGCAAGAGTTTATAAAGAGGTTAGCGAGATCCAGCTTTTATTTTGGTAACCAACTTCCGCTTATTGGAAAGCGAATTTGCATATTAGCTAAATGTTTAAGCACCAGCTAAATATTTATTTTCCACAATGTTATTTAGCTCCACATTATATTTCATATTTTTGGGTCAGACTTAAATATTTATTTCTCAAATACTGATTTTGCAAACTAAATGTTTAGCTCCAAAATAAATATTTAGCTGGGATCTAAAAAAAATTTTGGAAAATAAATATTTAATTTACAAATTAAATATTTAGTTCCAAAATAAATCTTTAATTAGTAAATTAAATATTTAGTTAGTTAATTAAATATTTATTTTACAAACTAAATATTTAGATCAGACCTAAATATTTAGTTTGCAAAATAAATATTTAACTATAAATTAAATATTAAGCTTGCTAACTAAATATTTATTTGGAAACTTTAACATTTATAAATGTATGAATAACATGGTGAAAATATGACTTCGAAAAAGTGAACTCCCAATTTTTTCTCTTATGATATGCTAAATAACCAAAAATATTGCTGTCAGATTATGACTGAATTTACAAATGGCACCCCATATTCTATGGAATGACACCCCCCCCCCTCCCCAAAAACACGTTGACATGTGTCAATGCTACTCTTCAAAAATACACACAAATGTGGGAATTATTAATTTATGACAAAATATTTTAGATTGTTGTATAACCCTAACCATGACCAAAAATAAATTTTAAAGCAGCCACCAGGGGCTCATCAGGATCACCACAGATTCCACATTTGAGAACCTGCCCAGGGGTCCAGGTAGGTTGTCTGGACCAGTTTCACCATGAGGACAGAAAAATTAGCAAGCTTAAAACGAGACACTCAATATTACTCAAATGTATTACCATCGTATCCCCTAGACACACTCACTTCACAAAGTTACAACAGGATGCTAAAGTTTGGGCAGCCTTGTTTGTCTTCTTGACGTCTTGTATAAATTTTAGGTTGTGACAATAAAAAAAATCAGTTAAATATGTCATAAAGGAGACACACAGTGAAATTTGAGAAGTGGAACAAAGTTTATAGGATTTACAGAAAATCTGCAATAATTGTTTAAACACAATTAGGCAGGTGCATAAATGTGGGCCCCACAAAAAGAAATGAACTCAGTATCTAGCAGATCCTCCTTTTGCAGAAATAACAGCCTCTAAACGCTGCCGAAGGCTTCCACTCACTGTGCAAAGACCTAGTTTAGACGTCCTACAGACGTCTGGACCGACAGATAAAGACATGATCTGCACGTCCATGTGACGTTGAGTGCAGAACAATGAGAGTCTGGATTCTGGCTGAAGGTATCTTGGACCATTCTTCTTTACAAAACATCTCTAGTTCATTCAGGTCTGATGGCTTCTGAGCATTGACAGCTCTCTTTAACTCACACCACAGATTTTCAGTCATTTTCAGGTCTGGGGACTGAGCAGTGGCGGCTGGTGAAAAATATTTTTGGTGGGGCTGTGCTATTTTTCATTTTTAAACAAACTTGTGCTTTCTGAGCTTTGTGCACAACTTCACTATTTCCTGAATCAAGCACAGCTCTTTTATTTCCTGTCTTACATCATTGGACAAACTGATTAATCCAGGTGTGTCTGACTATTGGCACGCTGCCTTGCAGACCAAGGTTGAAAAATACTGCATTAAATTGCACATAAAGTAACACGACCATAAATGGTAAATAGGCAATGCAAGAGGCAAGTAACAAAAACATTTTGTTTAATTTCAACATTTGAGTGAATACGAAAAATTATGAGCAGGTCACTGTTACAGTAATGGTAGTAAACACTACTTAGACAAAATGCCAGAAATTTACACTGTTAAATATTTCTGGAGTGTTGTGCCAAGGTCAACTTTATACAAAGATCAAGTGTGTGTGTGTGTGTGTGTATGTGTGTGTGTGTGTGTGTGTGTGTGTGTGTGTGTGTGTGTGTGTGTGTGTGTGTGTGATACCTCATTTGTACAGAAATGTTGCCCTTCTGTCCTTCTGAGTGGCAAAGCTCTCGATGAGCTTTTTATTGAAGTCAGGAATGTTTGTGACAAGCTTTTTTTCCATGGAGTGCATGGCAAGAGCATTCAGCCCATCCTGTGTCATGGTGTCCCTCAAGGAAAGTCTTAATCCTCTTTAAAGTAGATAAATAAAAAAACAACAGATAAGTACATAGGAAACACTTTCATAGGAAATAACGTCATCAGTATCCTCTTACAAATGTCATATTTCCCAGTTTTTGGGACAATAAAACATTTCTGATTCTCAATCAGATGTTTTTACATTTGAGGTTAAAACATCTGATTGAGAATCAGAAATGTTTTGTCCCAAAAGCTGGGAAATTTGTTTGCTGCAGCAGAAGTGTAACAAGTAAAATGGAATCAGATTGATGTATGTACAAATTTACATGAAATACACATTAACGTGATTGAATATGTATAATAGGTATGTGTGTTGAAATTAGTTTTTAACAGTTATTGCACATTAAACATGTAATTAAACAAATGTCCCGGTTTGTGGGACAACCAAGGATTTCTGATTCTGATTGTCTTGTTCACAGAAATGTAATGTACAGCTTACCTCTGCACCCAGCTGCTGTTGTTCCCTGTCCAAACGTCCTCCGTTTCTTCCATTTCCCTCATCGAGCTGCATGGCAACGTTAGCTCTGCTGCCTAGCATGGCTAGCTTCACCGTGTTGTTGTCCATGTGTGCCCGGGATGACTCGTGTTTCTTCACCTTCTCAGAAAAATGTTTCATGTCCGTAACTCCTGACTCATCCATGCCTTATCTGTCCCAGCCGTTTTGAATAACAAGCACAGAAAGCAAAATAACGCATTAGCGTGATTGCATCCAGCTAGCCAAGCCTTCCTGGTGTACCAATGGCATGGACGTCACGCCAGTAAGTGTCGAGACTCTCCGAGTTCTACCGAACACCAACGAAAGCCTTTGGCGGTAGCTCTATCGCCCATCATGCTTCTGAAACAACGTCGACGCTGATTGGATACATTCCCATTCCTACCGTTTGATTTTCTTGTCAGCAATTGGTCGGCTGGTTCCGCGGTGTTTGGGTGATTGAAACACAGCCCACAGCCTTTCTGTCGCCTCCACCGCTTGGGCAGAGAGCTTCTCACCAATATATATATATATATATATATATATATATATATATATATATATATATATATATATATATATATATATATATGAATATATATGAATATATGATTTGTTTTTGTTACAAAACACACAATTAACTTAGAATATGTGATTATTGTTAATTTTATTTTTTTATTTTTTTAAATAAAAATTAAAAACACTGGGGAAAACTGGGAGGGTGGCGCCCTATCGCCCCCTACTGGCCAGCCGCCACTGGGACTGAGATGGACATTCCAGAACGTTCTACTTGTTCCTCTGCATGAATGCTTTAGTAGATGTTGCGCAGCGTTTAAGTTTGAAAGATCCAGCCCCGGTGCAGCTTCAGCTTTGTCACTGATTCTTGGACATTGGTCTCCAGAATCTGCTGAAACTGAGTGGAACCCATGCTTCCCTCAACTTTAGCAAGATTCCCAGTCCCTGTACTGGCCACACAGCCCAAAGCATGATGGAACCACCACCGTGTTTTACTGTAGGTAGCAGGTATTTTTCTTGGAAAGCTGTGTTATTTTTCCTCCATGCATAACGCCCTTGTTCTGCTCAACAACTAAAGTTTTAGTTTCATCAGTCCACAGCACCTCATTCCAGAACGAAGCTGGCTTGTCCAAATGTGCACAAGCAGCTCTGTTTGTGCTGTGCATCACTCTCACACGCAGCATCTCCTTGTGTAAAGTGTACCCGATAGCTGAACGATGCACAGCAACTCAGTCTGCAGCAAGATGGTGTTGTAGGTCTTTGGTGCTGGTCTGTGGCCGACTCCGCTCTCACGTTTCTTCTCTTCTGTTGATCTGAGATTTTTCTTGTTCCTCCACTTGGAGCCTTAACTTGAACTGCGCCTGTGGTCTTCCATTTCATCAGTATGTTCCTAACAGTGGAAAAAGACAGCTGAAGTCTCTGAGACAGCTTTCTGTATCCTTCCCCTAAACCATGATGGTGAACCGTCTTTGTTCTCAGCTCATGTGAGAGTTGTTCTGAGACCCCATGTTGCTGCTCTTCGGAGAATATTCATAGAGGGAAACCTACAATTGGTCCCCTTAAATACTCTTTCTCATAGTTTGATTTGCCAGTGTATGGAGGTCAAGGGTCACTGAGCTCACCAAACCAATTCTGAGTTCCAGTAATTAGTCCTAAAGCTTTAAGAATCAATAAAACGACAACAGTGCTCAAGTTTGTGTTTTGGGTCTAACATCAGACACCCTCGCCCAGACGATCCGACCGTGGTTGATTACACCACAGCCCTCTCTATCCAAATCCACCTAGTGGCTTTTTCTGCAGTTTCAGTTGGAGATCTCATAGCTTCCTTCTTTGCTTTCCAGGTGAGGCCCAGCAGGGAACACTTTACAGAGTGATGGCCCAGCTCACCTCCAGGCTCACAGAGCCTTGCCTCTTGCACTCATCCGCCAGCTTCCACGCTTCCTCTCGGCCTCATCCACGAGGTCTTTCCAGGGCAGTGAGCGCTCCAGAATGGCCAGCTGCTTGGCATCAGACACAATCATCATGTCTGCTCTAAGCTGTGTTGGTGTAATCCTGACTGGGAACTTTAGCCGTTTGCCAGGGTCCAATCTCCAGTCCGTGGCGGTGAAGAGGAGACCTGACTGTGCCTGTAGTTGAATGCTGGGTGTGACAGTGTGAGTGTCCTGTCACAGTGTCCCGATTGATCATGCGCCCTGGCTACTTGGCCAAGGGGATGTCCCTTTGGCTGACTGGTTAGTGCGTATGACTCTCACCCGGGAGTCTGGGGATCGAATCCCGCCCGGGCCCTCGCTTCTCCACCTTGCCACATGGGCATCTCCCTGGCTTTGTGGAACATGATGGCTTTGGTGTGAAGTGGCCCTTGATGGTACCGATGACCTTTGACCCAACACGATAGCCCTTGGTGGTGGGAATCAGCAGCTGCTGAGCATCAGCGATACCGCCCTTCTGAAAGTGAATTTGGCTAAGGAGATGATAATTTGCCACTATATTTCATTTCCATCTCCAGCAAAGAAATTTGAAAGCCACATGTTGAGAAATCTTGATCATCTATGAATAAAAACGTTGTCATCAATTTTCCTCTAATGTCTCATGGTGTTTATTTAGTACCTTATTTGCAACTAATTTGATGATTTTAACAAATCAAACCAACCATTTGAGCTTCTTTCACTGAAACATTTCCCTCTGGGATTAATAAAGTATTTTTGATTTGATTTATTTAAATGGATTTTTAAATAAGAGAAAAAGACAGATAAACCCTACATAGATGTTATAAAGACTAAAATATTATTATTGATGACCAACCTGCCAATCAGCAACATTAGAAAGAACACTTTTAAACAGGAACATCACAGGTCCACATAACCAGGCTGGTGAAAGTTGGCTGAGATGCCAAACATCAGTCATGTTTCCAGCTCCCATTCAGGTAAATATATTGTTTTTGTGGTTGTGTTGTCATGGTGATTCACACAGATCTGTATTTGTTGCCGGGCGGTTTTAACAAACATGGCTGAGGTGTGCTAACTCAGTCTGACAGTTTTAGTGGCTCAGGACACACACACACACACACACACACACACGCACGCACGCACGCACGCACGCACGCACGCACACACACACACACACACCACGTACCGCTGGGACTTCAGACCAGTACCACACCAAGCATGCATGAAAGCTCAGCCTTCTCCCAGAGGGAGTCAGATGCAAACAGAAATGATCATTTCAGATTTCTCTTCTTCACGGGTTGCGTTGCTTTTCCAGCCTCCTTCCAGTAGGATCCGCCCCACCGATGGTCGGCTCTCAGGTGAACCCTAGTGTACGTTCAGTAAAATCCTTCCAGTTCATCCTCACAGCCATTTCAGCCGTTTCGCAGCAGTGCTGCACCCGACGAGAACCTCGTCACTGCAGCAGACACAAAGAGCCATTTGATACCTTCTGTAGCATTTATGCTAGACACGACCCTGGGATTTGTCCATGAAGAATCCAAACCACAGCACCAGCTCAGCCCGTAAGTCCCAGGACCCGTTCTCACGGTCATGGATAACAGGGTGATTTCTTTGATTTCAGTCATGAAGATCGTTAACTTCCTGGATCAGGTTTTTGTTGTTGGTGGCCCTTTATCCTCCCTCTGCTGATTATAGATTGTTATAACTGGGAAAGGTTCTTGTGGGGCTTGGTTCTGGTTCCTAACAGCAGAGCGGAACCATCCTTTAGTCTTCCTCTAGTGCAGTTTGTATACAAGGACTGGATCTTTATAAATCTAGTCTCCTAGCAGGTCCTTTCTTCTTCCCAGCCCCCGGAGCGTCGCTGGTGCCCTGGTCATCCCTGCTTCCACCAGTCTAGGAAGTCCCCGCCCGGTCGACCATCAGTGGGAGAGCACCGCCCAGGGGAAGCTGCTGCTGCTGAGCATCAGTTCAGTTGTCACTCAGGTGAAGATCACTCATCTGAGCTTCCATTCTGTGGTTTCACCATCTCACCAAAGTCCTTTTATCCCCAGGGGACCCAGCTGGTGGGCTGACCATCCTCCTCCATGCCACAGGAATCCATTCAAACTCCAATGTAAACGTGTGAGAAAGCGTTGGTCGTCTCGTGTGAAACACGGGGAAGTAGACGTTTTCTACTCCGAGCCTTCAGGAAGTCAAACATCTGGCAGAAACGGTGAGTAAACTCATATAATCCCTTCATGTGAGTAGACGGGAATCTAAAGAAAGGCGTGATTTCACATAGATCATGAGCAATTTAATATCGATAGAGATGCATTAGTTCACAATAATGATAAATCTCTACAATCTACATGTTGGGTTAGAGCGACGATTATGGGTGTGCTGAAGGTGTTTCCTGTAGATCAGCTGTTTGGATTTGACCTCGGTTACAAACAGATCGTGTTGGAAGTGGAGGTTGTCCTTTTAAAGCAACACGTGGCTCTTTCCTCTACACGGCTAGTGAAATAAACCAGGTAGTGTAGCCTAAGTGCTAACTATCAGTGTTCCCTTTCCTTTGGCTTCTCTGCTCATCGTGGTCCTTCTGTTTAGTAATATACTGTATAAAATAAAAATAAACACAAACAGCTCCACAAATGTCTCATTGTGATGTTGACCACCTGTACAAAAATAGCCGAGAACTAGATTAACGCGCACACAAAGGAAAATAAAGCTACTAACGCTGGAAAACATCATAAGGAAATGAAGGATCCCCAGTAGTGTTTGGTTACATGGATGAAGCTGCTGTTTCTGCGATACAAAGTCACGCGGACGCTGGGTGGAGACCCTGATGTCAGAGAGAAGGCACGCGGTCCAGGTGAAGGTTGGAACGCTCCGGGCTGCCCAGGTTGTCCTCCTGCATCCCGTCTGGGCTGTGGCCGTGCTCGTCTGTGCTCTCCGGAGACTCGTAGGGATAGTTTTCACAGATCTCCTCGTCCTCCGGCTCTTCTTTGATGCTGCGGGGGGAAACGGTCAGAGCCACCCAGAATAAAATCTTAAAGAAACCAACGGAGCAGGCAGGCGGCCTTACTAAGCCTGAGGTGGGGACTGCGTGGCGCTGCTGTCGCTCTGGTATCCAGATCCGTTCGCCAGAGCTCCGTTCATCTGCTCCTGGAGGACATGAGGCAGCGAGTGCAGCGGGATGCTGCCCATCGAGGCCGGGCTAAACAGAGAGCTGCTGCTGTCCAGAATGGCATTCTGAGGAAACATTTGAGTCTTTAATCACAACCTTTTAACTTCTCGCAGCATCACATGAGACAACCAGCTTCTCCTACCTGAAGAGCAGATCCAGCTAGGCTCCGCCGGTCCTGAGGGGTTTTCATCAAAGATCTATCAGAACAGAACGGTCATATTTACACACAAACGGCCCAAAGGCGAGACGTCATCATCAAAGCCTGGAATGGTTCAGTAACGGGGTTAGAGGCGGGGCTGTGGTTATGCACGTCTGCACACGTCTGCACACGTCTGCACAATCTAAACCAAGCAGCTTCTAATGTCTGATGCTATTTCATTCAAAATGCATCTACAGGTGCTGGCCAGTAAATTAGAATATCATCAAAAGGTTGAAAATATTTCAGTAATTCCATTCAAAACGTGAAACTTGTACATTATATTCATGCAATGCACACAGACCAATGTATTTCCAATGTTCATTACATTTAAATTTGATATTCATAAGTGACAACTAATGAAAACTCCAAATTTGGTATCTCAAAAAATTAGAATATTCTGAAAAGGCTGAATATAGAAGACACCTGCTGCCACTCTAATCAGCTGATTTACTCAAAACACCTGCAAAGGCCTTTAAAAGGTCCCTCAGTCTTGTTTTGAAGGCACCACAATCATGGGGAAGACTTCTGACTTAACAGCTGTCCAAAAGACAATCATTGACACCTTGCACAAGGAGGGCAAGACACAAAAGGTGATTGCTAAAGAAGCTGGCTGTTCGCAGAGCTCTGTGTCCAAGCACATTAACAGACAGGCGAAGGGACGGAAAAAATGTGGTAGAAAAAAGTGTACAAGCTCTAGGGATAACCGCACCCTGCAGAGAATTGTGACGACAAACCCATTCAAAAATGTGGGGGAGATCCACAAAGAGTGGACTGCAGCTGGAGTCAGCGCTTCAAGAACCACCACGAGGAGACTCATGAAAGACATGGGATTCAGGTGTCGCATTCCGTGTGTCAAGCCACTCTTGAACAAGAAACAGCGCAAGAAGCGTCTCGCCTGGGCCAAGGACAAAAAGGACTGGACTGATGCTGAGTGGTCCAAAGTTATGTTTTCTGATGAAAGCAAGTTCTGCATTTCCTTTGGAAATCAAGGACCCAGAGTCTGGAGGAAGAGCGGAGAAGCACAGAATCCACGTTGCATGAGGTCCAGTGTAAAGTTTCCACCGTCAGTGATGGTGTGGGGTGCCATGTCATCTGCCGGTGTTGGCCCACTCTGTTTCCTGAGGTCCAGGGTCAATGCAGCCGTCTACCAGGAAGTTTTAGAGCACTTCATGCTTCCTGCTGCTGACCAACTTTATGGGGATGCAGACTTCACCTTTCAACAGGACTTGGCACCTGCACACAGTGCCAAAACCACCAGCACCTGGTTCAAGGACCATGGTATCCCTGTCCTTGATTGGCCAGCAAACTCGCCTGACCTTAACCCCATAGAAAATCTATGGGGTATTGTGAAGCGGAGGATGCAATACGCTAGACCCAACAATGCAGAGGAGCTGAAGACGACTATCAGAGCAACCTGGGCTCTCATAACACCTGAGCAGTGCCACAGACTGATCGAGTCCATGCCACGCCGCATTACTGCAGTTATTGAGGCAAAAGGAGCCCCGACTAAGTATTGAGTGCTATACATGCACATTCTTTTCATGTTCATTCTTTTCAGTTGGCCAACATTAGAGAAACAAACATTTTTTCATTGGCCTTTAGAATATTCTAATTTTCTGAGATACCAGATTTGATGTTTTCATTGGTTGTCACCTATAAATATCAAAATTAAACGTAATAAACATCGGAAATACATTGGTCTGTGTGCATTGCATGAATATAATGTACAAGTTTCACGTTTTGAATGGAATTACTGAAATATTTTCAACCTTTTGATGATATTCTAATTTACTGGCCAGCACCTGTAGAGTAAAGCTTTTTGAGACTTTCGTGTGCATGGATGTTCAGCAGGGGACTGCTGTTAATCTCTGGATTAACTAAAGCAGGGTATGCAGATCAATATAATCCTGCATGACCTGTCAGAATGGTGAATATTCCTGCTCGTGACTAGACTGACTAGCACTGCTGATGGTCGTTTCTCGAGTCTGCGACTCCAGTTGTTGTGTACGCAGTTGCTTAATTTGTAAATAAAACGTTCCCAGAACGCAAATACTGACGTCAAACCAAAGTTCACTAACAGTTCCTCTCAGTCTTGAAAAGTAATAAAAATTGTGCCCACCCACATTTTCCACGTTAACACGTCTCTTTTAACAACGGTAGTTTCTGCTTCAGCCCCCCCAAACTCACTGATGCGCCTGCAGCCTCTCGGAGTTCCTGCTGCTCTAAACATTAAAATAATTATTTCATTTTCTGTTCCTCACCTCTGATGACCTTCAATGGTGTCTGTTTGTTGCACCCAGCAGGTACAAAAACTAACTTGTTTTTATTTGACTGTTTTTCTGTCCTGCCTGTTTATTATCTTCCTGCATCTCCTCTCAATCCTAAAGAGAAACTGCTACCTGGGTTCATATATATTCACCTCATGAGTTACCTTTGAACTGCAGTTCTAAAAGATCTACCGACCGCTAAAACAGCGGAGTGCTCACCGGCCGCATCAGTGAGGTGCGTCACCGAAGGACAAAACAGGTGATGCGCCCCGATCCGCAGCAGCGAAACGCATCAGACACAAATAAAAGACAGAAAACGTAAAAGGAAATGATCCGACATGAACGATCGCGTGTTAAATTAGTTTTTGAGGTGGCGACACCTGATTTGATAATGTTACCATGGCCGTGCTCAGGATGCAGACGTCTGGAGCGCGTCAACGATCAGAGCTCTGCACCTCTCAGCTCTAAATAATCCCCGGAGAGTCCACATAGATAATGTAATTTAAGTAGGACCAGGATCATTTTGGGGCTCCCCGGGGTGTGTTGAGGGCTTCCAGGAGCTCCCTAGCTCACCTGTAATTCCAATCCTGCGTATAGCACAAGGTTGTCGCGTGAGTCGCCGGATCCTAGCAGACAGTTGCCGGAACGGTCCTTTCAAAATAAAATAGTTCCCGGATCTTGTTCCGGCAATATCCGGCTCAAATGAAGCCCTGTGTGTTCGTCTTTGGGAACTTGTCCTTGACCTGCACCGATCTAAAGTAAATGAAGTAGAAATGTCCCATGCCTGCTGTTGTCATATGTAACCATGCCTGGATGACCTTCTTCGTCCTGTTTCTCTTTTATAAACACAACAGGAGCTCTGGGTAATAAGTGCAGACTTGCGGCCTTTGAAGCCTCGACACTTGCTTACAGTAAACACTGAGTGGACTTGTGAACTACAAGGTCAAGTCCTTTGAAGTGGAGCAGCGGACTTCTAGCAAGATGCCAGAACACTCGATGTCCCGTCTCCATGTCCAAAGCCAACATACCCGTTGCCAGAAGCGGCTTTCTGCGGCCGCCTCCTGTGGAACTCGATCTCGTCCACCGTCCACACGGCTCCCTTCACGTTCTCCAGACGCACAAAGCACTTATGCAGACTCAGGTTGTGTCTGACGGCGTTCTGGAGGATTTCACAAGCACATTTTAATGAACATAAAGGCCTCTGAAGCGTGACGGTTGATGTGGTTGGATGTTTACCTTCCAGGTGGCTGCATTGCGTCTGAAATATGCAAAGTTTCTAGTGAACCAGTTGTAGATTTCATTTAATGTCAGCTGATTACGAGGTGACTCAAAAATAGCCTGAAAGACATGAAATGTGTGAGAGTGACGATGCATCAACTGGCATTTTCATGTGTTTTCTGCTGGTGTGGACATTTTAAACATACCTGTCTAATGAGAGATGCGTATGTGAACGGAGGTCTGACTTCTGTGCCCAAGTAGAACTCTTTATTATCAGTGATGTCTGCAGAGAGACAACAAGCACGGGTAAACACGTGGGACAGGACAAGGCTCTAGGACACCGAACCCTCCCACTCGTACCTTGGCTCACAGAGCGGCTGTACCGTCTCCGGACGGGGGTCCCAGTGAACAGGCTGTTGGGGGTGAGGACTGAGGGGGACTCAGACAGGGGAGTCAGCGGCGTGGAGGGTGCTGTGGCACTCTGAGAAAGACTCATAGGAGGGGAGCCTTTGGCCAACGTCCCCGGAGGAAAGGAAAGGCTGGATGGCAGCTTTACCTGCACAAAAAGAGAGGTTCTGTTCTGATGTGGTACTGGTAGAACCATAGCTGTTCTGATGTGGTACTGGTAGAACCATAGCTGTTCTGATGTGGTACTGGTAGATCCATAGCTGTTCTGATGTGGTACTGGTAGAACCATAGCTGTTCTGATGTGGTACTGGTAGAACCATAGCTGTTCTGATGTGGTACTGGTAGAACCATAGCTGTTCTGATATGGTACTGGTAGAACCATAGCTGTTCTGATGTGGTACTGGTAGATCCATAGCTGTTCTGATGTGGTACTGGTAGAACCATAGTTGTTCTGATGTGGTACTGGTAGAACCATAGCTGTTCTAAGATGGTACCGGTAGAACCATAGCTGTTCTAAGATGATACCGGTAGAACCATAGTTGTTCTGATGTGGTACTGGTAGAACCATAGCTGTTCTGATGTGGTACTGGTAGATCCATAGCTGTTCTGATGTGGTACTGGTAGAACCATAGCTGTTCTGATGTGGTACTGGTAGAACCATAGCTGTTCTGATGTGGTACTGGTAGATCCATAGCTGTTCTGATGTGGTACTGGTAGAACCATAGCTGTTCTGATGTGGTACTGGTAGAACCATAGCTGTTCTGATGTGGTACTGGTAGATCCATAGCTGTTCTGATGTGGTACTGGTAGAACCATAGCTGTTCTGATGTGGTACTGGTAGAACCATAGCTGTTCTGATGTGGTACTGGTAGAACCATAGCTGTTCTGATATGGTACTGGTAGAACCATAGCTGTTCTGATGTGGTACTGGTAGATCCATAGCTGTTCTGATGTGGTACTGGTAGAACCATAGTTGTTCTGATGTGGTACTGGTAGAACCATAGCTGTTCTAAGATGGTACCGGTAGAACCATAGCTGTTCTAAGATGATACCGGTAGAACCATAGTTGTTCTGATGTGGTACTGGTAGAACCATAGCTGTTCTGATGTGGTACTGGTAGATCCATAGCTGTTCTGATGTGGTACTGGTAGAACCATAGCTGTTCTGATGTGGTACTGGTAGAACCATAGTTGTTCTGATGTGGTACTGGTAGAACCATAGCTGTTCTGATGTGGTACTGGTAGAACCATAGCTGTTCTGATGTGGTACTGGTAGATCCATAGCTGTTCTGATGTGGTACTGGTAGAACCATAGCTGTTCTGATGTGGTACTGGTAGAACCATAGCTGTTCTGATGTGGTACTGGTAGAACCATAGCTGTTCTGATGTGGTACTGGTAGATCCATAGCTGTTCTGATGTGGTACTGGTAGAACCATAGCTGTTCTAAGATGGTACTGGTAGAACCATAGCTGTTCTAAGATGATACCGGTAGAACCATAGTTGTTCTGATGTGGTACTGGTAGAACCATAGCTGTTCAAAGATGGTACCGGTAGAACCATAGCTGTTCTAAGATGATACCGGTAGAACCATAGTTGTTCTGAGGTGGTACTGGTAGAACCATAGCTGTTCTAAGATGGTACCGGTAGAACCATGGCTGTTCTAAGATGATACTGGTAGAACCATAGCTGTTCTGAGGTGGTACTGGTAGAACCATGGCTGTTCTAAGATGGTACTGGTAGATCCATAGCTGTTCTGATGTGGTACTGGTAGAACCATAGCTGTTCTAAGATGATACCGGTAGAACCATAGTTGTTCTGAGGTGGTACTGGTAGAACCATAGCTGTTCTAAGATGGTACCGGTAGAACCATGGCTGTTCTAAGATGATACTGGTAGAACCATAGCTGTTCTGAGGTGGTACTGGTAGAACCATGGCTGTTCTAAGATGGTACCGGTAGAAACATAGCTGTTCTAAGATGATACTGGTAGAACCATAGCTGTTCTAAGATGGTACCGGTAGAACCATAGCTGTTCTAAGATGATACTGGTAGAACCATAGCAGTTCCAAGATGGTACCGGTAGAACCATAGCTGTTCTAAGATGGTACCGGTAGAACCATAGCTGTTCTAAGATGGTACCGGTAGAACCATAGCTGTTCTAAGATGATACTGGTAGAACCATAGCAGTTCTAAGATGGTACCGGTAGAACCATAGCTGTTCTAAGATAATACTGGTAGAACCATAGCTGTTCTGAGGTGGTACTGGTAAAACCATAGCAGTTCTAAGATGGTACCGGTAGAACCATAGCTGTTCTAAGATGATACTGGTAGAACCATAGCTGTTATGATGTGGTACTGGTAGAACCATAGCTGTTCTAAGATGATACTGGTAGAACCATGGCTGTTCTAAGATGGTACCGGTAGAACCATAGCTGTTCTGATGTGGTACTGGTAGAACCATAGCTGTTCTAAGATGATACTGGTAGAACCATGGCTGTTCTAAGATGGTACCGGTAGAACCATAGCTGTTCTGATGTGGTACTGGTAGAACCATAGCAGTTCTAAGATGGTACCGGTAGAACCATAGCTGTTCTAAGATGATACTGGTAGAACCATGGCTGTTCTAAGATGGTACCGGTAGAACCATAGCTGTTCTGAGGTGGTACTGGTAAAACCATAGCTGTTCTAAGATGATACTGGTAGAACCATAGCAGTTCTAAGATGATACTGGTAGAACCATAGCTGTTCTGAGGTGGTACTGGTAAAACCATAGCTGTTCTAAGATGATACTGGTAGAACCATAGCTGTTCTGATGTGGTACTGGTAGAACCATAGCTGTTCTAAGATGGTACTGGTAGAACCATAGCTGTTCTGATGTGGTACTGGTAGAACCATAGCTGTTAAAAGATGATACTGGTAGAACCATGGCTGTTCTAAGATGGTACCGGTAGAACCATAGCTGTTCTGATGTGGTACTGGTAGAACCATAGCTGTTCTAAGATGGTACTGGTAGAACCATAGCTGTTCTGAGATGATACCAGTAGAACCATAGCAGGTCTAAGATGGTACCGGTAGAACCATAGCTGTTCTGAGGTGGTACTGGTAGAAACATGGCTGTTCTAAGATGATACTGGTAGAACCATGGCTGTTCTAAGATGGTACCGGTAGAACCATAGCTGTTCTAAGATGATACCGGTAGAACCATGGCTGTTCTGAGGTGGTACTGGTAAAACCATAGCTGTTCTAAGATGGTACCGGTAGAACCATGGCTGTTCTAAGATGGTACCGGTAGAACCATAGCTGTTATGATGTGGTACTGGTAGAACCATGGCTGTTCTAAGATGGTACTGGTAAAACCATGGCTGTTCTAAGATGGTACCGGTAGAACCATAGCTGTTCTGAGGTGGTACTGGTAGAACCATGGCTGTTCTAAGATGATACTGGTAGAACCATGGCTGTTCTAAGATGATACTGGTAGAACCATGGCTGTTCTAAGATAGTACCGGTAGAACCATAGCTGTTCTGAGGTGGTACTGGTAGAAATATAGCTGTTCTAAGATGATACTGGTAGAACCATGGCTGTTCTAAGATGATACTGGTAGAACCATGGCTGTTCTAAGATAGTACTGGTAAAACCATAGCTGTTCTGAGGTGGTACTGGTAAAACCATAGCTGTTCTAAGATGATACTGGTAGAACCATGGCTGTTCTAAGATGGTACCGGTAGAACCATAGCTGTTCTGATGTGGTACTGGTAGAACCATAGCAGTTCTAAGATGGTCATGGTAGAACCATAGCTGTTCTAAGATGATACCGGTAGAACCATAGCAGTTCTAAGATGGTACCGGTAGAACCATAGCTGTTCTTAGGTGGTACTGGTAGAAACATGGCTGTTCTAAGATGATACTGGTAGAACCATGGCTGTTCTAAGATGGTACCGGTAGAACCATAGCTGTTCTGAGGTGGTACTGGTAGAACCATAGCTGTTCTAAGATGATACCGGTAGAACCATGGCTGTTCTAAGATGATACTGGTAGAACCATGGCTGTTCTAAGATGGTACCGGTAGAACCATAGCTGTTCTGATGTGGTACTGGTAGAACCATAGCAGTTCTAAGATGGTACTGGTAGAACCATAGCAGTTCTAAGATGGTACTGGTAGAACCATAGCAGTTCTAAGATGGTACCGGTAGAACCATAGCTGTTCTAAGATGATACTGGTAGAACCATGGCTGTTCTAAGATGGTACCGGTAGAACCATAGCTGTTCTGAGGTGGTACTGGTAGAACCATGGCTGTTCTAAGATGATACTGCTAGAACCATGGCTGTTCTAAGATGGTACCGGTAGAACCATAGCTGTTCTGAGGTGGTACTGGTAGAAATATAGCTGTTCTAAGATGATACTGGTAGAACCATGGCTGTTCTAAGATGGTACTGGTAAAACCATGGCTGTTCTAAGATGGTACCGGTAGAACCATAGCTGTTCTGATGTGGTACTGGTAGAACCATAGCAGTTCTAAGATGGTACCGGTAGAACCATAGCTGTTCTAAGATGATACTGGTAGAACCATGGCTGTTCTAAGATGGTACCGGTAGAACCATAGCTGTTCTGAGGTGGTACTGGTCAAACCATAGCTGTTCTAAGATGATACTGGTAGAACCATAGCAGTTCTAAGATGATACTGGTAGAACCATAGCTGTTCTGAGGTGGTACTGGTAAAACCATAGCTGTTCTAAGATGATACTGGTAGAACCATGGCTGTTCTAAGATGGTACCGGTAGAACCATAGCTGTTCTGATGTGGTACTGGTAGAACCATAGCTGTTCTAAGATGATACCGGTAGAACCATGGCTGTTCTAAGATGGTACTGGTAAAACCATGGCTGTTCTAAGATGGTACCGGTAGAACAATAGCTGTTCTGAGGTGGTACTGGTAGAAATATAGCTGTTCTAAGATGATACTGGTAGAACCATAGCTGTTCTGAGGTGGTACTGGTAAAACCATAGCTGTTCTAAGATGATACTGGTAGAACCATGGCTGTTCTAAGATGGTACCGGTAGAACCATAGCTGTTCTGATGTGGTACTGGTAGAACCATAGCAGTTCTAAGATGGTACTGGTAGAACCATAGCTGTTCTAAGATGATACCGGT